AGGCAAGCCTCTGGTTTCCTTGACTTCCTGAGCTAACCATTATTTATGAGAGAATTAAGAAAAAGACTCTGTGTCCTATTTTTTGTTTCCTCCCTAAGGAAATGGTAAGAAAAGGCTCAACTTGAATTCAAAGGTCAATGGGGTTATCACTTTTGGCTAAAACCCAAACTGACCCAGTCCTGAGAGATGGACAGCAGGGACCTTCCCCTCGCCAAGGGCTGACTCAACCAGATGTTTGAACGCAGCCAGAAAAAATTTCCCAGAATCCGTGGAGATTGTACATCAACACTGAGGCTCCTGATCTCTGCTCCTCCAACCTAAACCAAGGCCTTGATCTCGAGTTGTCCTGGTTAATCCTAAATGGACGGCAGCCTCATCAGTATCCACAGTAACTAAAATACAGTCACGTGCTGCATAATGACATTACGGTCAACGACGGACCGCATGTGCAACGGTGGTCCCACAAATTAGTACCATAGCCTGTGCGTGTAGTGGGCTATCCCATCTAGGTTTGTGTAAGTGCACTCTGTGATGTTCGTGCAATGACAAAATCGCCTAAGGACGCATTTCTCAGAACATATCCCTGTCGTTCAGCGCCATGACTGTAAACCACAGCTTGCCTTTCCATAGCACGGGGCTTGTATGACGATGGGCAAGTCACTGAACTTCTCTGAGCTCGTTTTCCTCATCTGACAAACATATTTATACCTACCTCATAAGATGAATAAGGTAGAGAAAATCATTGACCACGTGCCTTGCTCCTGTAAAGGTAGGAGAAACCTCTGCTCCACGGCTCTGGGCTTCTGTAAGCGGAGATTTCTGCTACAGCATCGGTTCTCAAACTTGATCATCCATCTGCATCACCTGGAGGGCTGGTTAAACCACAGATGCTGGGCCCTACTCCAAAGCTTCTGAGTCAGTGGTTCTGGAGGGAAGCCTAGGAATTTGCATTTCTAACAAGTTCGCAGGTGATGCTGAGGTTGCCGCTGTTCCAAAGGATGATGTTTTGGGAGCCACTGCTCTAGAATAATGTTCTTTGCCTCTCTCCTCACCCTTCTGTTGTTCCTCTCATGGGAAGAGGAATCATTTATCCTGTGTTTGAAAGGAGGAGCCAGGAAGGCATCTGGCCTTTCCTTTTGGGTCTACCTGCAGGGGCGATGAGTTCCGGTCATTCCTCCACTTGGAAAAGGGGATGCTCCCCAGGGAGCAGGGCTGTGGTTGTTCAGTTCTGCAGGTTCCTTTAATTCTGGGGTGAAGTACATGGATGCCCATGGTGGACACCCATTAAATTCTCAATCTAGAATTACAGCATAATAAAACTAGCATTTTGACTTATATATTTGTCTCCTGTATTTTTTCTCAATTGGTTCTGAACTAAGGAAAATAAGAAAAGACTATTTTAAATTGTCCCCCTAAAATCCTACCTGCACTCAGTGCTCAAGAAATGGCAGCTGCGATGATTATTTCCTTAATGTTAGAAACCTAAATTCAACCAGTATTAATGAAATCCTCAGGACTAATGATATTGTGGGGGATGTGAAAGATGCATACACACTGCCTGTAAGCTTGCAAATGTGCCTATGGTTCTCCAGTGAAAACTCAGCTCCTATCTGCCAGGCCTAGTGTCAAGTGGCATCAGACACAGAACCTGCCTTCAAAGAGCTTCCAATCAGAAGGGGGAGCACGTGACCACCAGCACCTGTGATCCAGGTGGACAGCACCATGCCCGAGAGCTTTGAGAATCTGGAGAGGGAGTGTTGTAGCTGAAGGAACACGGGAAACTTCAGGGTTCCCCTTCCATGAGATCACAGCATGACAGATGGGAAGCCAGGAAGCACAGAAGTTGGAAACAGCAAAGCAGGAGCAGGGAAGGTGAGCTTGGAGCAAGAGCATTGAGAGTGGAGTCCACGCCTACCGGCCGTGGGCTGGGACATGAAGAAGCTCACTCTTCAGAAAGGGTTTTGCTGGAGCCTATCTCAGACGCCTGGATGATCTCCTCAGAGGTGATGCCTTTGCCAGCCACGTGGTGTCTGGTGCACAGCTTGTTCAGGGCAGTCTCCGCCATGCCGGCCAGCTCCCTGGCATCATCCAGCTGGTGCACTGTCTTCCTGTAGAGAGCCAAGGTCTGGTTGGCCTGCTCCTCCTGAGGCAAAGGCACAGGGGTGTAAACTGGGCTTGTTCTGGTTAGATGTGCATTGTTATCGGTCTACATGGACATCTAAGAGTCCAGTCATTCTGTAAGGCTTGTTACAAAACAGCAGTCCCGGGTCACGGGCATCCTACAGCCCACCATGGACAACCACCATCAACGCATTCAGCTGATTCTTTTTGGCCTTGGTGTTCATATTTCTAAATAAAATATGCTCTGTTGCCGCTTCTATAACTTGTGGTTTTAGACACTAGCTATTGTTACCCCACATGGAAGATGTGGATTTAGCACTTTTCCCAGCCCCCACCACACATTTCCTATCTGCGTGTCTGCCCAGTAGACTCATAATGTCATTTTGGTTAGAACCATATTTGCTGTAAGTGTGGCCCTTATCGAGCTTTTTGGGAAGGGTGTTGGGTGCGTGGGTGGCTGATGGATTCAATGCGGTGGCCCCAGAACTGGCATCAAATGACAACAGAATCAAATATCTATGTCCTGGAGTCGTGGGGTGGGGTGGACGTGTGGTGTAGAGTTGAGACTTGAAGCTACCATCTGCTAACCATTTGACTTTAACGATCACTAGCATAACATAAATATCTCACTCTGGGCTGATTCCTCACCTGTGAAATGGACTAAGAATATCAGCCTTCCTGCCTCACTTTGGGAGGATCAATCCTTGTGTTCAACAGTATGACCAGGAAGGAGAGGTTATCCCAGCAGAGGCCACAAGGGGTCGTGGAAGCAAGACAAAGGCAGTCAAGACCCTTCCCCGTTTTAGATCACACCCTGCAGGGTGTGCTTAGCTAGCATGGATGTTCTTAGGGGACATTTCCATTGTTCACATGCTCTTATCTCCAGCGTGTAGTGTCCACTCCACTTCCCACACAATAGCGAGGATGAAGTGCCGTGGACACGAAGCTCCTGGGAGTCATCTTTTGGCCAATACTTGATTCCTTCCCTGTGGTCAATTCTAATCCACCGGGGCTGGAGAGAGAGGCAGGTTAGGGACACGCGGGAGCAATCTTCAATCTGCCTCTTCAATCTGCCACTTGTAGGCCTTCAGCTTGTCCTGCAGCTTCTCCACCAGGTCCTGCGTGCGCTGGGTGGTCTCGTGGTCCTCCTCCGTCTGGGAGACCAGCTCTTTGAGGTGGCACTCGTTCTTCCGCAGTGTCTTACCATCTCCATGTGCCATTTCTGCCTGCTGTCCAGCTCCATCTCTAGTTCCTTGATCTGCAGAAGAGAGGAATGTGGCAGAGGGAATGCATGTTTTTGAACTTCAGAGCTCAGTGGCCTCAGGTAGAGGTGTCGTGGCTACAATGTCCACTTCCTACCCAGAGGGGAGCAGGCAAGCCCTGGACGGGAGGGCTGGTTGGGCTCTGCCTTTCGTGGGCCACACTGTGCTTGTCAAATGGTCCTCAAGTTTCCTCCTCTGGGAAATGGAGGAAGGAAGGGGTCACGTAAGGTGACCAAACCTCCTGGGCCCTTCCAGCTTTGACATTCCATGAGGTAAAGGCTAAGGTGTGTTTTAAGTAAGTAATAAGAGAGGAATAATGTTGGGAACCAAGACTTGGAACAGAGACAGGGGAAGAATATTGGGAACTGCTCTTCTTGGGGGCTAAAGACATTGTTGGGGGAAAGGTGACAAGGAGAAAGGAGGAGGAACAGAGGAGACCTTTGCATAAATAAATTAGTGCTATTGTCTCAAATTCCTTTTCTTTCCTAGCACCTGCATAACCCAATTCCTCATCAAGCCCTGGGCTTGTTTTTTGGCAAAATATACCCCACATCCACTCCCAACCCCAGCCATATCTCCCTTTCTCTTTCCTGGCTCAGCTCACCCTGGCCTACAGCTCCACCATCGTGTGCCTCTGCCTTTTCACAGCCAGTTGCTTGGTCCCCTCCATCTTGGCCTGCAAGTCTTTGATGGTGATCTCATAGTCCTTGATTTTCTGCAGGTGCCTGCAGTGGTCCTGCTCTTGCTGGAGTTCCTCTGCCATGCGGGTGGCCTTTGTGGGGGACGAGAAGAAGTGAAGAGCATGAGGTGGAGCTGGGCTCCCATCCAGGCTCATAGCACCTTTGAGAGACAAGGGACCTCATCTCCTAGTCTCTGGGAAACCAAGTGATTGATGAAAGGAACCTTGCTGACACGGTGCTGGGTTTTGGTGGATGGGGTGCCCCACACTCCTGTGTTCCTCCAAGTGAAAGGGAGGAGGCAGGCTCACGCATGCACAAGCAGGCCCCGCAATGCCATGAACTCCCACCAGCCTGGTGCTCTCCAGCCAAACTCTGCTCTCGCCTCCCCAAGGGGCAGAGCATGGAGGGTGGGAAAAGCACAGATCTGGAGTTGAATGACCTAGGCCTGTGTCCAGCCCCTCTGCAGCCTTCAGCACACTGTTTTACCCACTCATTCTTGCATTCATTTTACAAATATTCATGCAGGGTCTACTGTGTGCCAGGCATGGGTCTACACTCTTGGGACATAGCACCAAATAAGACAACAACGTTCCTGAGCTTCTGACATTTCAGTCAAGTGCAAGGAGTCCTCGACTTCAAAGTGGGAGTACAGGATACCCACTGCTCATGTGAGCACCCAAAGGGATACTGGGGTGAAAATACTTGGTGGCTTCTCTTGCCTACATCCACCCCTGACTCTCTGGGTACGAACCCATCTTCCTTTCACTAGCCCTGTCCTCAAGGCTGGTTTAACACTGCTCCTTGCCAGAAACCCTGCCCAGATGAGCCCACCTTGATGGCTCCTTTGATCTGCAACCCTAGGTCTCACACTCTAACCTTTCACATGATAATGTATAGCTTGTAATTATTCCTTACTTTCCTGTGTTTGGCCTTTCAGAAAAGTCTCCGGACTCCTCAGCAGAGACCACGTCCCCACTGGCAAGGCGCGGGGACTCCACAGTGATCCATGAGGGGAGGAGGTGGCCATCCCTGCCTAGGGTGGCCCTCTTGTCGGCCAAGTGGAACTCACTGATGAGCTCCTCATGCTCATTGGAGATGCGCTGGACAACTGACTGCAGCTTGAGCTTGACCACGAGCAGGCTTTGGTTCTGGAGGAAGAAATGGAGATATCACCGCGAGCCAGGAGTCTGCACAGCCCTGCCCGTGTCCAGGAAAGAAAGCTCTTGCCACATCCCCCAACCAAAAATGGCCTCCTGCTTGGGCAAGGGACTCCCACTGTGCTCCCCTCTGGGTTTTGGAGCAGAACTTGCAACATGAGTATCCCAGGAACGACATCATTTGGGCTTGTGGGGGGTGGCAGCTCTGGGACAATCCTGAACTCAGAGCTGGGAAAACCTAGGTTCAGGCCCCAGCACTTCCTCCTACATGGATGGATTCTCTACCTCCAGGCTTTGGTCTTCTTATCTGTAAAATGGGCTTATAATCATTAGGTGTCTCACACACGTTTTTCCTTTTGGAGAATTCTCGTGAGATGATAAGTAAGGATGAAGCTGTGCTGGTAAAGGACTGTGCTGTGAGCAGTAAACAGGACTGGTCTTACTGCTGGCGGAAGACAGGGTCCCTGATGTTGACCACGGAGAAGCCACTCAACTCTCTGGGCCACGGTTTTTCAGTCATAAAATGAATGTCAGACTTTGGAATATTCTAGATCCCTTCCAGTTCGAAAGTTCCCTCCTCAGCTATACTGGGGGTAATGGTGGTTCTTAAAATTGGCTAAATCATCAGAATCTCCTGAGGAGTTTCTAAAGTTTAGATTTCTGGGGTCCCACCGCAGACCCACTAGATCAGAATCTCCAGAGGACAGTCTGGGTGTCTGTCTTTAAAAGCTCTGCACAAAATGTGCACGTAGTTAATATTGCTGTGCTGTGCACTGAAAAATGGTTAAGATGGTATAGCGTACGTTACAAGTTTTTTACCATATAAAAAACAGCTCTGCAGGTGAGTTCTGAGGATTTTCCAAGTGGGGACACTACCTGCCTCTGAGTTTTGACAGGAGCCCTCAAGGTTTGAGCACCGTCCTGGCCTCGTCCCAGGGCCCCGAGTGTGAGTCCATGTGGCACTGCCCAGGGAGCCACCATCCTACCTGGACATTGATCTCGTTGTGCTGCTCGGTGATCTCCACCACCTCCTGCTCCAGCAGCTCGCGGGAGCGCTCACTGCCCTCTAGGGCCGAGCGCACCTCCTCCAGTTCTGTTTGCAGCAGGCTCAGGCGCCACTCCTACAGGTCGTCCTGCTCCCGCAGCTCCTCATGCTGCCAGGCATCCTCGTCCATCTGGACCTGCAGGTCCTGGGGGGCAAAGGGATCCAGCTTGAGCCCGTCTCCTGGGCCCTGGCATGGCCTGGGACTGGCCAGGCTTGAGAGTGCTGTGACCTTCATAAACCAGGCACAGCAGGGAGCTGGGTGGGAGTGGGGAGGTCGAGGCCACAGAGGAAGAGAGCGAGGTATAGACTGCCCTTGGAGAGTTCACAGTCTGTTGAGGCCTAGCTGGGCCACATCCCATGTGTCCACAGTGGGCGGTCAGCATGAAGTCAAGGCTTTCCTGATAACGGAGCACCTGGTGTTTCCAGCAGGGCCTTCTCAAGGAGGCCTTCCTCAGTGATCTTTGACAGTTACAGGCCTGCCAGCTAATCCCCACCTCTCTTCTCCTGTCTTGTTATTTCTCCATAGCATTTATCACCATTTTTAATACTACAGTTTTATTTATTTGTTGCTTATTGTCTGTCTGCAGGGATTTTTGTTGGTTTTGTCCATTCTCGTACCACTAGCTCCTAATACAGTGACTGGACAGGGCAGGTCTCCAGTAAACAAGTGTTGAATGCATGGATCCAACTACGTGTGCTTCAAAGACCGCCCGATGGCAGAAACGAAGAAAGGGGGACTTCAACTCTATTCATGTGTATTTCTTAAGGTGAGTGGTGGGTACATGGCTTTTTGTTGTGTTCATTTTTCTATGTCTGAAATCATTTATAAAAGTCAAAAGTGATTTTAAAAATCGAGACAGGCCCAACTTCCTGTTGCCCTCCTTTCTTCCCTCTTCATAGTGGTCCAGGATGTGGACTTTGGTGGTTGGGGCCTCTCATTTATTCAGTCCCCAAGTCTCCTGCTCCCTGGACTGCCAGCCGGCCCACATTCTCACTCTCATGCTAGCTGAAGACGTGCGTGGAGTTGGCTCCCTGTGAGCCTGCAGGCTCGGGATGGCTTGCTTTGGGATTTAGTTCTTCTTTCTCCCAGATCACTACATTGATTTGCTGTTGCAGCCTTTTTGGTGTCTTCACAAGTTCGCTGTTCTTGGCGTGGTCCAGCTGGATTTCCATCTCATTCAGGTCCGTTTCCATCTTCTTCTTCAGCCAAAGTGCCTCTGCCCAGCCTTTGGCCTCCGCCTCCAGGCTGGCCTGCAAGGACTCAATTGCCTACCCATGGTTCTTCCTGCAAGTCCAGGCACAGAAGTCCTTGGCATACTGGGCCCGCTGTTCAGCCTGTGCTAAACCTCCCTAGATAAGCGAACTCTCAGCATCAGCGTGGGTATGGCCACCATGTTGTGAAATTAAATTGTATTTCCCCTTAAAGCATTTAAGTCGGGGAGCATCATGCTTTGGGAAAAGGAATAGAAGGTCACTGTTTACCACATGTCTCAATTCAATTAACGTGCAAAACAGCCCTGCAAGGAGGCTGAGGCTCCAAGATGACGAAAAATGTGCTAAAGGTCACCCGTTTAGCCCACAATGGAGTCAGGATTCAAACCTAGATGCTAAGCTCCCTATTTTTTTTTCATTACAAAATGTGAGCTTTGGCTATACAAGTCAGGTTTCTATCTCTCTTCAAAAGAACAGTAATGGATTGTATTTAATAGACATTCAATTATATTGTAATCAACGTAATAAACATTTCCATAAAGTCCTCATATAAGCTGTGGTAATCTCCTTTTATAGGAGGGGACCAGAGGAGGTAATTTAGATGTTCAAAAAACATTTATTTCATTGAGGCAAACAAGGGGTTAGCACGTAAAGATCCTGTCACCTGCCCCACGCTGTGTTCACCTGCACTCCATCCCTGAATACCCACCGTGTGCAGGCACGTTGCACATATACAAGTTGCACAAATACAAGCCAAAACTGCAAAACATGTTGAAAAAAGTTAAAGAAGATCTACATAAGTGGAAAGACATTTGTGTTCATGGATCAGAAGACATAATGTTGTTAGGGGGCATTCAGTGCAATCCCTATCAAAATCCCAGGGGGCTTCTCTGCAGAAATTGACAGGCTGGGTCTAAAATTTATACAGGAATGCAAGGGACCCAGAATAACCAAGATAATCTTGAGAAAAAAAAGAACAAAGGTAGATGATTCCTACTTCCCAATCTCAAAGCATCCTACAAAGCTACAATAATCAAGACAATGTGCCCAGGCATAAGGAGAGACATATAGATCAATGAAATAGAATTGGGAATCCAGAAATAAATCCTCACATTTACAGTCAATTCATTTCCCACAAGAGCGCCAAAATCATTCAACGGGAAGAGAATAGTCTTTTCAAAAAATGGTTCTGGGACAATTGGCGATCCGTGTGCGAAAGAATGAAGTTGAACCTCTATCTCACACCATATGCAAAAATTAACTCAAAATGCATCAAAGGCCTAAATGCAAGAGTTAAAACTACAAAACTCTTGCCTAATCTAGGAAACATAGGCACTAATCTTTGTGATTAGATTAGGCAATGAGTTTTTATTATGACACGTAAAACACCAGCGACCAAAGAAAAAAATAGATAAATTGGACTTCATCAAAATTAAAAACTTTGGTGCTTCAAGGGATGTTATCAAAAGGGTGAAAAGACAACCTTCAGTGAGGGAGGAAAGTTTTGCAAGTCATATATCTGATAAGGGTCTAGTATCCAGGATATATAGAGAACTCTTACAACTCAAAGATAAAAAAAGACAACCCAATTTTTTTAAACGGGCAAAGGACTTACATAGACATTTCTCCAAAAAAGGTATACAAATGGGCAATAAGCACATAAAAGATGCTCAGCATCATTAGCTATCATGGAAATGCAATTCTAAAGCACAATAAGATAGACTTCACATCCACTAGGATGGTTATAATCAAAAGATAGATAATGATAAACGTTGGAGAAGATATGGGGAAATTGGAATCCTCATACGCTGGGAATGTAAAATGGCGCGACTGCTTTGGAAAAAAATCTGGAAGTTCTGCAAAAAGTTAAACATAGAGTTACCACATAACCAGAAATTCCACTCCTAGGTATATATCCAAGAGAAATATAAACGTGAGTCCACACGAAAACTTGTATGTGAATGTCCATAGTGGCATTATTCATAATAGCAAAAAGTGGAAACAATCCTAATGGCCATCAACTGAGCAATGGATAAACAAAATGTGGTACATCTGAACAATAGAATATTATTCAGGAATAAAAAGGGATGAAGTACTTACTGATACATGGTACAACGTGGATGAAGCTTGAAAACATGCTAAGTGAAAGAAGCCCATCACAAAGGACCACATATTGTATGATTCCATTCATATGATACATCCAGAATAGGCAAATCCAAAGAAACAGAAAGTAGATTAGTTGTTGCCAAGGGCTGGGGGTGGGGGTAGTAGGGAGAAATGGGGCATGACTGCTAAAGGATATGGGGTTTCTTTGGGGGGTGATGAAAATGTTCTAAAATTGTAGTGATGGTTGCCCAGCTAAAAACCAAAACCATTGAATTTTCCCCTCAGTGTGGGTGAATTGTATGGTATGTGAATTATATCTCAATAAAGCTGTTGCAAACACATGCACAAGCCACATAGTGGCATAGCTAGAAATTTCGGGTGGAGGTCAGGTTTAGCCCGATGTCTGTAGAATTGTTGGGCTTCTCCTTGCAGTGGCTCTGCCTACAGCCGTCTTAGAAGGAGTGATTGTGGGGGATGTCGCAAACTCAAGAAGCAATAGTGCAGGAAGATTTCAGGCAGACAGGTTAGCCAGGATGCCAACGTGGACAGTCCCAAATGTGAAGATCTCAGAATCACAGCAAATCATATTTCTGTAAACTAAAACCTAGTGATGAATCCAAAAACGTCTTGAAACCTCAAGCAGCAATATTGGTCACTGAATTAAACAGAAATCTCCAAATCCAGCACTCCTTGGTCTTCCAACAAATCAGTTCCTTTCCGCAATGCGTTGGATGTTTTCCGAGAGTTCGTGAACGGTAACAGTAACTTATATGTGTATGGCTTTGCGGGTTACGGTGTGCTTTCATATCTACAAGCTCATCTAACCTTCACCGCGTCCCCGAGAAGTGACGTGGAAGCTGTCATCACTCTCATCTGTGAGATGGGATAATTGCACCCATCTCATGGGGGTCTTTTCCAATATTTTTTATTGTGGTAAAATCCACATAAGGTAAAATTGACCATCTTAGGCCATTTTTAAGTGTACAATTTGGTGGTATTAAATACATTCACAGTGCTGTTACCATTGCTACCATCCATCTCCAGAACTCTTTTCATCTTATAAAACTGAAACGCTATACCCATTAGACAATAACTCCCTTATTTCCTCCTTTCCCCCAACCCCTGGCTACCACCATTCTCCTTTCTGTCTCTATGATTTTGACCGCTTAAAGTGCTTCCTACATACAGTGTTTGTCTTTTTTGTGACTGGCTTATTTTACTTAGTATAATGTCTTTAAGGTTCATCTATGTTGTAGTATGTGTCAGAATTTCTTTCCTTTTTAAGGCTGCGTAATATTCCATTGTGTGTCTATCTCACATTTTGTTTATCCATTTATTCGTCAACAGATATTTGGGTTGCTTCCACATTTTAGCTATTATGAATAATACTGCTATGAACATGGGTGTACAAATATCTCTGAAAGACCTTGCTTTCAATTCTTTGGGGTATATACCCAGACATGGGATCGCTGGATCATATGGTAATTCTATTTTAGGTATTTTGAGGAACCTCCACACTATTTTCCACAGCAGCTGTTCCATTTTACATTCCCACCATCAGTACACAAGTTTCTAATTTCTCCACATCCTCGCCAACACTTGTTATTTTCTGTTTTTTGGATGGCAGCCATCCTAAAGGGTATGAGTTGGCATCTCTGGAGTTTTGATTTGCGTTTCCCTAATGATTAGTGTTAATGACCATCTTTTCATGTGCTTCTTGGCCATTTGTATACCTTCTTTGGGGAAATGTCTATTCAAGTTCTGTGCCCATTTTTGAATTGGGTTATTATCTCACGAGGTTTTGGATGAATCGCTTAAAGTACTGTATTTCAAAATGTTTGTAAACCAGAGAGTGCCACATCAGTATAGGTACTATCATCATTCCCATTTCACAGGTGAGGAAATCGAGGTTCAGAGAGGTTCATCTAAATTGCCCCAGGTTACATGGCTAGGAGGTAGCAGAGACCCAGGTCTCTGGACTCTCCTCCATTGTGCTCCCTAAAGTCTCCCTCCCATCCTGTCAATTCCGTACCCCGTAGCTTCAAATTCCTCTTCTTTCTTGTGGATTCTTCAGTCAATGTCAGCTTTGACCTGAGCTAGTTCCCGCTGGATTCAAATCACCTTGCTCTCTTCAACCTGCCAGGAAGATAAATATCAATCTTCCTGGCCAAGCAGGTGTGCAGCCCCTGGCCAAGGGTGCAGCTCCCAAGGTGACAGCCATGTGGTTACCTCCAGGGAAGACTCAGCTTCCTTCAGGCCGCCTGGAGGAGTTCTTCCCTCTTGATCTTTAATTTTTTCTTCAACTTCTGCAGCTCACGCACACTGCATCCTCCCTCACCCCGCTGATCAATCAGTTCCTTCATCTCCTCTGAGAAAGGAATATTCTCATTAATAACGCTCATGAGGACCACCACCTTCCCAGGGTCAGGGCATGTGGCGCAGACATTCCTCTGTCGAGGTGAGAAGCAGGCACTCCTAACCTCATTGTATCTAAAAAGAAGCGATAGACTCCAAGTCACAGACTCGTGGAGCATTAGGCCTTGGACATTGGACAAAAGTGGGTTCTAGCTCCCTTTTTATAGCTGAGAGGCTGAGGCCCAGAGAACAGTGAGCAAGCACAGAGCGGCTTTGGGGCCAGCGCCCAGGACTCCCCGGGCCTGTCAGTCCTACGTGTGAGGCCTCCCTTTCTCAGAGAGCCCCCACCCAGTTCTCACAACTAACTGTACAAGAACACCATCCGGAGGATCAGAGCCTTTCTGATCTCCTTCCTCCGTTGGGAGACCTCTCTGTTACTTACCCAGAGGAACTCCCAGGGACCCACAGCTCCTCAGAGCAGGTCCAAATCTCAGCCCGCAACAAGAGGCGTCCGAGAAATGCAACTGTCTTGATTCATCCATTTTGACATCAAGCCTCCTTGAGTTCAGAGAAATCTCGTTGAATCCAGGGTCTTCCTATCTGGGATTCTAAGTTCCAGCGGGTTTTTGGAGAGCTTTAGGTGGCATCACCTAGGTCTCAGCTGTTGGTGTCTCTCTGTGCTGGCATCACTGACATGCCGGCGGCCCACATGGCCTCCCAACATCTGTCCCTGGAAATAGTGGCTGTTTCTAGAACATTCTCTACTGCACTGCCCTGGACCACGAGGAACGCTGTGATGTTGCCTCACACTCTCTCAGCCCAGGCAGGTTGCTCAGCCATTCTCCGTGGCTGGGGCTACTTTACAAGTTTGCTCCTAGCTGGGCTTTACCTGCCAGGTGAGGTGCCTATTCCTCTGCTCTTCACCCCCAGCTTACCTGGGAGCTCTATCATCTGTACCAGGAGCTGGTGGGGGCGAGGAGGCAGGGCCCGGGCCATTGGCAGAGGCCTCAGGAGCACCTGATCACACCCCCTCCTGTTTTCCTTCCTCTCCTAGTCTGGGCAACCTTTACCTGGTTCAGCTGCTCCTCCCTGGTCTTTGACTCATGTATTTACTTTGTACTCAAGTCCCTCAGTACTTATGCTTTTGAGACTAAGACAGCAGAGGCCTCACACCCCAAACACTTAGCTTGCAAGATTATCTCCTCCTAGCAGACAGCTCCCCAGGGAGGGACCCGTAGGACCTTGGGCAGGTTTGGGGACATTTGGGGACAATCTGCCTCTACCCTCCGCTGCAGTGACCCTACATCAGCACCCTGGGACTCAGATACAACCCTAGGGAGAGAGCAGTGTTGGGTAACCTGGACTGAGGAAACCCTGCATGGACTGAGATTTCCTTTCTGTCACTCAGCAGATCGGGCACCCAAAAACAGTTCTTTGAAATGAAAAAAGTGACATGTCTTTCACACTGTCTTGTTAGAAATGAGTGCCTGCCACAAAAACAAATATTGCAGTCAAATCTTTGCCTGGCAAAACAATCTTCAACAGATAGCCAACATTTTTCAAGCAATCTCCAACAGAACGAAATTCCAGCCAGAGACTCCTATGTCTAAGAAATATATACACATATTATTTACATAGGAGAGATGTAAGGGCTCAGTACATGAAATCTATTGAACCCTTATCTGTGGCAGCTACTCTACTGAGTGAGGGCTTTACACATTTTGTCTTATTTCATTACACAACAACCTTACAAGGAAGGCAGAATTATTTCCCCATTTTACAGATGAGGAAACTGAGGCACAGAAAGGCTAAGTAACTCACCTGCCTGAAGGTATATTGCCGAGTGCCCAAGTGCTTTGACAAAGCTCTTGCCAGCCAGTCGACAAACATTCATTATGCATCTACCACGTGCCGGGTGCTCAAACCCATGATGTGTGCAGGAGGAAGGGGGCCTTGGCTATGTCTTTGTCCCTGTGGTCCCACCTGCCCGCCCTCAGACTCACCCTGCGGAGTCTTGTTCTCCTTGTTCACCGACTCGAGGTGCTGCAGGAACTCCTCGTAGGCGGTCTTGATCTTGAAGCTTTCTGTCATGTACACGCGGCACTCCTTCTGCGAACTGTCCGCCTCCACCTGTAGCTCCTCGCACTCATGCTGCCACGCGGCCAGCACCTCGTCAAAGACCCGCTGCTTCTTGTCCAGGGCGGCAGCTGCGGCAGGGGCCTAGGGAGAGGTAGGGGTGGTCCCCCGGGGCTCTGACTTTCCTGCCTCTTTCCCCTCCTTGCGTCCCCCTCCCCAGTAACTCTGGGGAACACAGACTTCTTGGGAATTGGGATATAATTCAACATATGGCACAAGCACAGAACAGGGAGTCTGGAAAGAGTTATGTTCCTGTTCTAAAACTTCTACTACTAGACATGTGACCTTGGGCAGTCCACCTTGTCTTCCCAGCCCAGGATTTTCTCAGGTGTAAAATGAGGATCTGAGCCACAATGGCCTTCCCAGATTTACGACGTGCACCTAACTGCCCGTAATGTATTTCTCTGTAATGTACTAATATGTTTTGTATGTTGTGGTCCAACTCAGGGATGGGTTTGCTATTATTCTCCTTGTGAATCAAAGCTGATTATTCCTAGACAATATTTTTCACAGACCTTTCATCTTTTGCATAACTCCCTGGAATTTGCTGCTGTGAAATATTAGATTTTGTAAATTTCTACTTAATTTCTGAATTTGGGGGGAGCAAAAACTTTTTGGGTCTTATCTCACATGGATAAGACCTTCTGCCTACGTGCCCCTCACAGCTGGCATGAAGCCATGGTCCCTTCTTGACCGAGATCAGGTTGGTGTGTGCCAGTGGAAGTCTTATTTAATGTGGCTAGAGACTGGCAAATCGGTCTGAACCAGGGGTGCAAACAGGAATATTTAGCCACACAAAGTGTGTGGGACATGGTTTGTGTGAGAGAAAGGGAACAGGGATGATACATTGCATGCTTCCTGGGACTTCCTTTTCCTTGTCAAGGACCTATTTCAACAGTGGCTTGTTGAGTGTTGAGATCTCAGAATTATGAGTATACAAACACACGTTCAAGCAGGGGCCAGTGTGTAGTGGGTCTGAATACAAACCCAGTGCCCTACCCACTTAGGTTACCTGTTTCTTCTTGCTAACCCCAGACATGTGATAATCTCATCCAGCTCCCTGTGGGCCTTGGACCCCGCAAACAGGCAGCTTGTGAGCATCTGACCCTCTGACTTTCTCCAAGTCAATGGTGAGGTCCTCGACTTCTGCTTGGAGTCTCTGTTGATTTTTCTCAAGGGAGGTGGCCTGGGGCCTTGGCAGCTTTGGCTGTCTCTTCCGCTTCCTGGAGCCTGGTGGCTAGTTTCCTCCTGGGAATGGAGACAGGAGGGGCCATCAAGGAAGCATAGGAGCCTACGGAGGGGGCCCGGTGTGTGGCACTGAGCTCTGGCGTCACGATGGAAAAGATGCTGACAAAATGGAGAACACTTAGAGAAAAGCAACCACTGTCCATTCATTCATTCCATGAATGTTTATTGTTTCTACTCCACGCCAAGTATTGTTCTAGGTATCAGGGAAACGGCAGTGAATAAAACAGCCTGGGATCCCAGCCCTCATGAAACTTCTGTTCTGGATGGTTGATTGACATTGCACAACATGTAGACCTAAGCACTGTGGAGAAATGAAGCAGGGAGGGACACATGAACAAAGGCCGAGGGAGGGGAGGGCAGGGACCCTGTGGGTGTCGGGGGAAGAGGTTCCCGAGGTGAGGGATTGAAATTTAGGCTTAGCCCCAGACTGGGAGTCTTGGGGTAGGACTAGGCAGCTCCCAGCAGCTCTCAATAAAAAACAGAAAGGGGCTGGAGGACAGGAGTGGAAGCTTCAGCAAGGCAGATATAGGCTGAGTGTATAAAGAGCTTTAGATAAAGGATTTGTGTCAGCTGGAAGGCACTGCGCTTATTGCTATCACGTCACCACAAATTCCAGTGGATAGAAGGTGCCAGCAACAGGCTGGGGTCCCCTCCCTGCCTAGCACAGGGTGGGTCACTCGCAGGGCTTCCCTGGATGCATGCGCCCACGGGCACCAAGCCAGCCTTTTCTTAGGCAAGACGGTGGCTCAGAGCCGCATTCATGTGTCCGCGCTTATTTCCTCAGCCCCACCAAACAGAACATCCACTTCTCTAGTTTGTGAATGGGGAAGAAAGCTCAAAAGAGTTGAGGGCATATACCACAGAGGTGCGGAACTGTCAGAGTGGAGACCTTCACCACTGAGCATGGTCAGTGTCCTCCTGGCATTGCCAAGTGACCCCACCCCAGACCCACCAGGCCTGTGGAGGCTTCCCGAGCACGTCAGAGGTGGAGAAGCTCTGTCTGGAGGAGGAGCCCTCGCTCCTGACTTCTGTGCAAGGAGCCCGAGCACTTTAAGGCAGAGGGTGTAGGTAAGAGAGGCCTTGAAGATGGAACCTGAAGGCTGGCAGTGCTCGTACTGATATTCTGCTGAGGGCACAAAGTGGGCTCTCCTGTCCGGACATTTGTCCCCCCTTTAAGTGGAGCCTCTGAATTTCCTTCTCCTGGATGTGGCCTTGGCCTGAACAGTGGCTGACAGTGGTGAGACCCCAAGTGCCCACCCACTCGCTCGGCCTTCGCAGCTCTCCCAGTACAGAGTGACGCTCTCTTAGTCTCCTCCAACTCCTTGGTCCTCTGGATGGCCTCAGTCTCATACTTGGTCCTCCAGGTGGTCACCTCAGCATTGAGTTTGGACACAAGGCACTGCAGCTCTGACTTGCTCCTTGCTCTTCCTCCAGCTGCTCCTTCAGCAGGTCCAGGTTGTGCTTGGTGTTGGTGAGACTCCCCATAGCCGCGCTGCGAGACTGTGGGGATGAGATGAACCTGTCAGGGGTCCACGGGTCTCTCTATGGCCCCCGGGGCCACCACTTAGATGTATGTAATGTTGGACCAACAGCACAGCAAGTAAAGGGAGGAAAGACACAACCCAAACCATCAGGGTTTGTTTTCCTTGTTTACTTCCAGTTATTGTCCACAAGGATATAAAATTTTGTTAATTTCATAGTCATACACACAGACTATTGTAGTTTTGTAGTTAACGTTTTTACTTCCTATTGAATCAAATATTTTTTATGTTCCTTCTACATCTTCGTCTGTACATTGACTTTCTTCAAGGAGGCAGCGCTGTGACCCCAATCCAACCCCACCCCCAAACGAACCTTGGCCTCTTCATCCCAGCTGCCCCTTGTAATCGTCCACCTGTGATGTCAGCCATGCCTTTATCTGTAGGATTTGGTTGAGCCGGCACTGGGATTCCTGGTATTCCCAGCTCACTTCACTATTTTCAGCTGGGAGAGAAAGGAACAGGAGAAATATTGGATGAAGAGCTGCCCCTGGGCGACACTCCCAAAGTACCCAATAAATATGGCGGCTTGGCTGACTGAGCTGGTACGGGGAGCACGTGAACCACCACACCAGCCGCCCAAATTAAGTGAGCCCGGGACACTTTTTTTGCACCATAAAATCAGACATGGTTTGTCAGCCTTTATTAACCAAGAGCAAAGCCCAGCTCTAGAGTTTCCTTTTAAAAAACCCAACCTTGTTTATGGCAAACAATGATTTCATTATATATTCAATACTACAGAGCAAGAATCGATCACTTTCCAATCACTTACTCTTCTGAGATTAAAATACAAGTATAAAACGGTTTATAATAAGATTCTCCCCAATGATTTAAAATATAATTCCAATTGAAAGATGCTTCAAATATTATGTATAGAACTCAGGACCCAAAAGAGACCTTAAAACATGTTGATCTTTAAGGTAGCACAATAATGCTGAATTAGATTTCTTTTATGACAGTGAGCTTAAGAAAACAATGAGGAATCTACCTTTTGCTCAAGCTGGGCTAAATGGTTTTCTGCAAATCCCCCATGAGGCGAGTGATAATTTTCTCCTTTTTTTTTAAGTATAAGGATAGCTCTGCAGTGTATAAAAGGAAACCCATGGAAAGGCTGCTTCCCATAAAATAGACATTAGAATCATTGAGGCAGTCAGCAGTCAAGACGGGAAGAACAAGGGGTAACTGAAGGGCCCACGGTCGCCAACCTTCAGGTGACTTGCGTGGGGTAAGGGGCTTCAGATAATGAGGTCCCCGACTCCCGGCAGGAGATACAGCAAAGGGGTATGAAGAAAACAGTGCGGCAGAGAATGTTTACTTTGTAAACTGTATTTGTCACGGTCCCAGAACCTACACTCCTGTCATTCGTGGACTGATGACTGGGGCCAGAGGCCAGGAATAGGTGCGTGACCCTCTTCCGGGTTTCCGGTTCTGCTCTGTAAGGCATTCATTCTGTGACCATGGGCAAGTCACCTCATCTCACTGAGCTTCACTTTTCTCATCCATCAAATGGGGATATTGATTTTAAAAAGTATTCAGGATGGGGGAAATAAGGTCAAAGGATGCTTGCAGGTCGTCTCGTGTCACACTGCAGCACTGTCTCCCTGGCCCGGCCTGGGAGTGTCTACCTCTCTCAGGGAACGTGCCGACTCACTGTCAGCGCCCAGCCTCTGCAGAATTAGGTGTTAACCTGTATATCGATAAGTGGCAGATTAGTTTTGTCCTAGAGATGCGAAAGAGTTCTTCTGAAAAAAGACCAAACCAAACCCAGAGGCTGCGGTATTGTTCTCCCAGGAGGACTTCAACCAGTTTTGCATCTAACTCAGCAACTTTATTTTGGCGTTCCTTTCCCCACGGACAACGTCAATCTCAGCCCCTCCAATGCTTCTCGAAGGCAGCGTTCCCATTTTTCTGATTCCCTCTAGTGATACACGTTGGCTTTATGTTGGTATGTGGGTCGGTCCTGATGGCGTTCTTTTCTGCCTGGTTTCGCTCCAGCTCAGCCACCTTGGCGTTGGCTTCTGCTAAGCTATCTTCCAGATTTCGGACCCAGGCCTCAGCGTTTATTTGCTCGGGAAGAATGAACCCGGTGGGGGAAAAAAGGAAGCCCAAGCCAGGCCTTCTCTGTTTCCCTCCTGGGTTCCACCAGTGCAGCCTTTCAGGCTACCTGGCTAGTCCTTCTAGAATGTTCTTGTGTCGGAAACCCCCCCCCCCCAATGCCTCACCGTTTTATATCAATATAAACCCAGAGCCTTTGGGATGGCGCACAGCCCCCTCACTCTCTGGCCCATCTCCCTTCTGTAGCCACTCCAGACCTTTGCAGACCCCACTCGATCAGAAAATGCAGTGGGGGAGCAGGCCCAGTGGCGCAGTGGTTAAGTGCACACGTTCTGCGTCCGCAGCCTGGGGTTCGCCGGTTCAGATCCCGGGTGTGGACATGGCACCGCTTGGCAAGCCATGCTGTGGTAGGCATCCCACATGTAAAGTAGAGGAAGATGGATACGGATGTTAGCTCAGGGCCAGTCTTCCTCAGCAAAAAGAGAGGAGGATTGGCAGCAGTTAGCTCAGGGCTAATCTTCCTCAAAAAAAGAAAGAAAGGAAGAAAATGCAGTGGGCCAATTTAAGGAAAAACACTAGCATTAGTGCAGGGGTCTGCAGATGAAATGAGGACTATGAAGATGCCTCATGAGTGTCGGAAGTTTGGGGACACTAGTTGGCTGGGACAGGGACCTCCAAAGCATCACCCTGGCTTTGGGGTCCTCCCCTCCCCCTGTGTCACAAGATGGTTTTTCACGTGGCAGGTGCTCGATAAGTGCATGTTGAATGGTTTACTTAATTTTCTTTCTTGCCATATACCATCTTTTCGTGATGGCAATGAATGCATTTATCTTGTCACTCCTACTGGTCTCCAAGTGCTAGAGGATATAGTCATAGTAACGTAATAAAGATCTCAATAGCTCCTATTTGTTGATTTTCTTATGTGCCACGGACTGTTGTAGCCCTCACAACAGTGCTATGAGGTAGGGATCATTATGATGCTCATTTTACAAATGACGAAGCGGAGGCACAATTAGGTTATGTCACTTGGCCAAGGTTATACACCCAGCGGGTGGAGTCTGTGATGGATTCATCTTGGCTCCCTTCACAACGTCTAGAACATGCGTTGGGCCTGCTGGGGGCTCAGGGAATATTTCCGAAGGAGCCAGATACTGGAGCACCTCCGTGTGTCTCTGGGGGAGGCTCCCTCACCTTGGACTTCTGCATGGTCTGCATGCCGGCGTTGAGGTCATCCGTCTTCGCCTTCACGGCCTGCTTGTCCTTTTCCAGCTTGGACTCGACCCTCTGCAGGTGCTCCATGTGCTCCGTCAGCTTGGCCATGGAGCCCGCGTGCTTCCTACGCAGCGTGGAAGCCATGGTCTCTCTCTACAGGGCCACCTCCTCCAGCTCCCGCTGCAGCTTCAACAGCTCGGCCTCCCGCTTGCGGTTCTGCTCAGTCTGGAGTGGAGGAGAAGCAGGGCTTCACAGAACTGGCCAGACAACAAGGGACAGCCCCTATGCCCCAGAGCCCACTGAGAAGATCCAGGCTAGCCGATCCTGAACCTGCTCGCCCTGCCTCGCCCGTCTCTTCCTGCAGAAACCACCATAAGGGCTCCTGCCTCAATTCCCTCTCCCTCTGCCTCCTGACTGACCTGATGCTTCCCCACGTGGCCCTGCATGGTGTGGCGTTCCCATTTCTCTTGGGAGCTGTGACAATCTTTTCAATGGCAATCATCTCCTAGTCCATTGGCCTTACTGTACCTCAAATTTTCTCTTAATACACTATATTTTAGAACATCTGCCCTGTTATCTAGTCCAAATCCTGCTTCCATCTACACCACTGAACCGAGGAGCTCTGGAAGAAAGTGGACTGAACCAGCCCTTCTCATGCCCCACTCTTTATTACTAACTGGTTTCTCCGCCGGGTAGCCCCAGGTATTCAGCAAGAACTAACTGGTCTTTATCCCATTACTCATTATCCAGCATTTTTTTCTTCCTGCAGGCAGGCAGGAGTTGGGGTTCCCGGCCCCCCCGAGGCTGGTACCTGAGCAGACGTGGCTCCCCCAGCCTCTTCCAGCCTGTCACTGAGGTCCTCGAGGTCCCGGGACAGGTCACTGCATTGTTTCTCCACCTGTGGTGATACTGAATGAGACTGAAGCCACCCACAAACCCCTCTTTCTCCAGTAAAGACCGTGATGGCCACAGTGCGTCTGTGAGGCTGGGGGCCTGTGCTTGGGGAGCAATGCGCTCTCCCTGCCACCCCACATGCTCAGTGAAGGATGCTGTCTGTCCTTCTCTCTCACTGGGTGGGTGTTCGTGCCCATCCTATCCCCAGCCCAGTTTGGCTGAATCTGAAGTTTAGGTGTGTTATTGTTCATCTCGCACCAGCTTTCTGGCCTTATCTCCTGTGGGATCCCTGCCCTCAAGCCTCTCTCCACTCTTTGCTGTTCCTTTGACACAGTCATTTGTGCAGATAGGTGCTATCTCATTCCCTTTGCCTACAAATTCCTCCCCGCATCAGGCTGTCGAATTTAGTCTTCAAGTCCCCGTGTTAATGTTGCTTCCTCCACGTGCCCCAGGCAGAACTCGCCTCCTCTCCTCGGGCTCACACCACACATAGCATCTTTGCATCTCACAGCTTAGTTAATGTGCACCTACAGCACAGTGCCTGGCACACAGTAGGTGCTCAAGAAGCGACAAGGCCTTTGTCAGCCTCCTCTCGATTGGTTTCTCGAGTGGGAACTGCTGCTTATGGTCGGACCGTGGCTTTCACTGGGTGAAATTTCACTTGGAATTCAACTGTGCACGAGGTGAACACGGGTCAGTCTCCAAGGGCTGTGCGGCAGCCCTGCTCCTCAGGAAACCTTAGCAGCCCATCAGCTGATGTGAGCGCAGGGCTCAGGGATGCGCGTTTCACAAGGAGAGATCAGTCTTCTGGGTCCTGGACATACCTGGCGTTCCTTTAGTTTCCACTGCGGGGTGGAATTCAGAGAATGCTCATCCTCCCATTTACAGTTGACAGAATCGATTCCCTTATCCCTTGTGCAGGAGAAGTTCGATCACATGAGGAAAAGCTCTGAGGGGAGAACAGCGAGCTGGCAAGGGAGCGGAGCCTGCACTGCCTGAGGAGGCCTTGAACCTGGTGAAACCCACACGTCCCCCGACCCCTGGCCTTCTGGGGTGACAGCCCAGGAGGTCTCACCCTATGGGGGAGTCAGACCCTGGAATCTGCTGTGCAGGCTTTTCATTCATTCATTCATTCACACATTTATTACACATGATAATCACACACCGAGATAATACATGATACATGATAATCACATTACCGAGAGCCTACTCTATGCCGGACATTGGGGCCCTGGGGACACACCAGTGACCGAACTGGGTAGAAATCACTGTTCTGGTGCAGCTCACATTCTAGGGGCTCCAGAATCCCATTGATGCTTCGCCTTTTTAGGGGAAGTTTTCCTCTAAAAACTTGCCACAAAAGGCTGTCTCCTGATGTGTGAGATCCAGGTGTCGAGGAGCCACGTGTGGGAACGAAGATGCCAGAGACCGAGTGGATGAGGATGGGCAGGGTCACCGTCCCTTCCGAAGGTGCCACAGAAGAAGTGTGCCCAGATGTGGATTTCGCTTCCTATGCCCCTAGAGCCCTCTGTGGTGCTTTGAAGCTGCCGTAGCAAAATATACTTCAAAGATGCACTGTCCCAATTCTACCCCCTAAAAGCTTTCCTTATCTGATTCCTCCTTATCGCCATCCCCTCGGCCCCTTACCAGTTCAGGTTTTCACCCAGACCATTGCAGTAGCCTTCCAATCATCTTCTTGCTTCCAGTTTTTCTCCACCCCACCTGTTCTCCACGTCATTGCCAGAGTGCTGTTGATAAAATAGCCCCCTCAACTCCCTGTGATCTTTGAAAGCCCGGTTTATAGGTTTCTATGAAGACTCCTTGCCCTCTGGGGCCAATGCATTGCGTAGTACCAGTCTTCTCTGCAGCACCCAGCAGGCACCGTGTGAGGCTGGGAGCTCCCTGTGGACAGAACAGCACCTACTCCTCCCCCCCCATATTCCTCTATGCTGGGCACAGTGCCTGGAACATAGCAGGTGCTGGGGACATGCATCATTAATACAAATGAAGGCCCCAGCACAGCACCTGGCACCATCCAGGAAGCGCTAGGTACTGCTAATATTGTTACAGACGAAATGATGACTACACGGGCTTTTCGCCACCTCCTCGAGATCCAGCTTGCACTGCTCCATCTCACTGAGATTGTCAATGGTCATCTTCAAGTCACTCTCAGCTTTCCGGAGAGCCTTTTCCACCTCCACCTGGATTTTCCTTTCTTGCTCCCAGTTATCCGCCAACTGCAGAGACAAGAAAAGCAAGAGAAAGTAGAGGAGGGGGGAGTCTGAAGCCAGGATGCAATAAGGAACCAGACCGGGCCTTACTTCCCAGGGGGTGTGTCACTCCAACTCCCAGAACATGATCTGAGGCCCCTGTGCCCCGGACGGACCTGGCCCTCGGGTTGCAGAATCGGCCCCCGCAATGGGGCGTTACCTTGTGGATCTGGGTGCTAAGCTTGCTGTTGCTCTTGGACAGCTGGCTCACCTTGTCCTCCTCAGCTTGCAGGTCGTCAAGGGTTTTCTGGAAGGAAAGATACACACGTGTCCCGTGAGGTACACAGGACCCAGTTCTGTGCCGTCACCTCTGAGCTGAGCTGAGTTAGCTGTAGTCATCAGCTGCTGAGCGCCTGCTCCTGGGCGCTGGGTGAGGCTGGGGCAGACCCGAGCACCCGTCAGGAGGTCCTTCAGGGCTCTGCTTCTTCATGGGGCACATAGGAAATCTGTGGGAGTCTTCTGCTTGTCACAGTGATTGGGGACCCCACTGGCACTTAGTGGGTGGTTCCAGGGATTCAGGACATCCCGCCTTGCTGGGGACAATCCGGCGCTATGAAGAGTTAATTCTGCAGTCCACACGCTTGACGTCCCTCCCATGCTTTTGTGTAAGTAAAACAACTATATATACTCCTCTGAGCCTAGAACCCAGCACCACTTTACATATAACTCAACTTTTTTTTTTCACTTAGTGTACACTACATTTTTAAAGAAATGATCTAGGGGCTGGCCTGGTGGTGCAGCGGTTAAGTGCACACGTTCTGCTTCTCGGTGGCCCGGGGTTCACCGGTTTGGATCCCGGGTGCAGACATGGCACCACTTGGCAAGCCATGCTGTGGAGGCATCCCACATATAAAGTAGAGGAAGATGGGCATGGATGTTAGCTCAGGGCCAGTCTTCCTCAGCAAAAAGAGGAGGATTGGCAGTAGTTAGCTCAGGGCTAGTCTTCCTCAAAAAAAAAAAAAAAAAAAAAAGAATGATCTACTGTGAAAACTGAGAGATTTATTTGTTGTTATTCAGAATTTCCCTGAGAGTTATTCACCATTTTTAAAATCGGATCACTGACAGCAGCCGCTCTTTGCTATCTGAGCCATCTACACCCGCTCCTGTGCCCATCTGCAGCCCTTATAGATGGGCTCAGGTGGAGAACCCCCTGCTTACGGTGTCTTCTAGTCGATCTGCCTGAGTATTTACACACTGACAGCCCCATTATTTATTACAAATTACTTTGCATTCATTTCTTCTTCATATCAAAGGGCACTCATTGATTTTTTGTGAAGTTATGTATTAGTTATATTCTTTATAATTTTTATTTCAGGATATTCCAAAATACAGTCTGGCCTCATTATTTGAAGATGGCCTATTTTCCAGTTCACTTACTTGCTAAAATTTGTTCCTAATCCCCAAATCAATACTCGTGGTGCTTTCACAGTCATTCGCGGACACGCTCAAAGTGCTGAAAAATTTGAATTGCCTGAGGTACACGTCCCCTCAAGGTGATGCCCTGCCTTCTTGTTTCAGCTCATGCCAGAAACAAGCATCCTTTTGGCAGTCTTTTTAGCACCACGTTTTCCACATTTTTGTGCTTTTTTTTGGCGATTTCGCTGTTTAAAATGGCCCCGAGCACGGTGCATGGTGCTGTCTAGTGTCCCTGTATGCGAGACTGTGATGTGCCTCACAGAGAAAGTGTGTGTATTAGAGGAGCTTTGTTCGGGCATGAGATGGAGTGCTGTTGACCATGAGTTCAATGTTTAGGAATCAACAACATGTACTAAATAAGGTGTCTTTAAACAGAAACACACACAAACCAAAATCACGTATTGATAGTAATTGTACTCATGATGTATCGACTGGCTGATGAAAATGTGACCAGAGGCTCACAGACACCTAACCCTATATTTCCCCTGGGAGCGGAGGTCCAGTATTTTCTAATTCAGTGCTCTTGGTGACTTTATAGAACAATGAGACGATGAGACAATGAGAACTGACTGTCTTTGTTATAAAAGGGGGCTCTGGGTTTGATGGTTGAGAATCACAGTCAAGGGGAGTCAAGGGGAGACGTTTCCAGAGGCGTTTCCAGAGATGCTCAGGGGACATGTTGTAGACTCATGATGTCAGCAAAGGGGTTGGGGGTCCACTGTCCGGGTCTGGGCTTCAGCTTGCTCTTTGCCCTCGTGTCTCCAGAGCTGGGAGGTGCTCCGCACCCTGGTCAGCACTGGCGGCCAGTCAGAGCCGGCTCAGCATTCAGGAGCCTGAGCCCGTAACAGCAGCCATCGGAAAGTAGCGTGGGTATCCCATAACCTCAAGAGCTCGTGTCTGTTATTGATGCGTCAGGATTCACCGGTGCTTCCGAGCTCACAGGGCACTTGCCTACACCCCACTCATCCTTATGACCCTGAGACCATCCTGACTCATGCCTGCTGTCCCCCTTTCACTCTCAAAACCGTCCTAATTTGGGTGGTAAGTTATATGGTCGCCCCACTCACAACAAACCTGGAGGGAAGGCAGTGAGACGTGACCACAGCCACTTCACTGATGAGGGAATTGAGATTTGAGAGACTCTGTGACTTCCCTAAGGGCCCCCAGCTGAGGCGCAGCAAAGCCAGGATCTGAACCCGGGTCTGCAGTCTCCCAGCTCCGCCTGCTCCACCAGGGGGAGAAGGGTGGCGCCCACCTGGTGTGGCTCCTCCAGAACCCTCTTCTCCTTCTGGGGCTTGGCGACAGAGTCTTTGCGGGCTGAGAGGTCCCCAGACATGTGCAGACCCTGTGATCCAGGGCCTGGAAACCAGGGCTGGAGAGAGACGGGCCCTTAAAGCTGGGAGGAGAGGAGGCGGAGGCACTTGCTCCAAGAAAGGGTCCTCAGCTCGGCTGTACCTAGAGTTACCTGGGAGCTTGGGAAATGCCGATGCCCAGGGCACCCCCCAACCAACCAAGTCAGAATCTTGGGGTGAGGAGGCCAGCGAGAACCACCAGTTCAGGCCTTTGCTGCTCAAAGCCTGGTCTCAGATGTCAGCAGCGGCATCGCCTGGGAGCACGTTAGATACACAAGCCCTTGGGCCCCCCAGACCGGCCCCCGCCAAGAACTGCATTTTATCGACATCCTGGTGGTTTATATGCACATCAGAGCTGGAGGCATGGGTTCAGGCAGTGTCTATGTGTCCTGCTTGTGGACCCTACCCACCTGCGAGGGCAGGAAGCGGGCCTTGGAGACCAAGGGATAGCCAGCTGGTATCAGGAGCCAGGGGCGCCCCCTGGAGGGGCAGCAACTGCTTGTTTGGGCCAAAATCCAACAGCTAAACGTGGCCTCAACATACTGATAGCGTTGTCTCTTCTGGGAGGGAAGAAGGGTGGACATGGTGCTGATGAACATTCTGTGAGGGGCCCCAAGGACAATGGGGCTGAGGGGGCAGCAGGCTGGCCCAGATGCCTGGGAATCCCAGGCATGAGGAGGCCTGAGCCTAGAGGTCACCTTGCTGGGAACAGCTTTCAGTTCCCTTAGTCAGCTGTTCTGTCCAGCAGAACTTTCTGTAATGATGGACATGTTCTTGGTCTGCTCTGTCCAACATGGCAGCCCCCACCACGTGTGGTTAATGAGCACTCAGAATGTGGCCGGGTTGACTGAGGAATCACACTTTAGATTCTATTGAATTAACATAGCCCCACGTGGCCAGTGGCTAGAGCACAGGGCAGCACTGTGGTGGGGGCTCCACGTGCGGCCCCTGCAGGTGAGTGACTGGGGGTTCCCTGAGAGGAGCGTGGCAGGCCCAGGGGCCTCCTCACCTGTTTCTCCTTCTCCATCTTGGCCAATGTGGTCTCCAGGCCCTCCAGGTCCCACTTCAGGTAGCTCAGCTCCCCCTCCAGCTTGCGCTTGGTGGCGCTCAGAGAGGCTGACGTGCCCTCCCCTTCCTCCAGGCACTCCCGCATGTCTGAGATCTGGCTCTCCAGCTCCGTTGTGGTCTTTATCCTCTGGGTCAGGCGCTCCTCTGCATCTATCAGGTTCTCTTGCTCCTGGTGGAAGAAAGAGCCCCAGTCAAAGGCAGGGGCCCAGGCCCCTGCAGGGGACCAAGATGACGGGCAAGCCTCGGGATGATGGGCCCCAAAGAGTTGTGTCCTGCAGGGCACACAGAGGCCTGGGCTAGCTCCGAACTCCTTTGTTATGTGTGTGACAAAGCATAAGAGGACGGTCCCCGGGCCAACAGCAACAGCAGCATCTCTTGCGAGCTGGTTAGGATGCAAAGTCTCAGGCCCCGCAGGAGAGCTGCTGCATCCGAATTTGCATTTTAGTGAGACCCCAGTGATCACATGCACTCAGGTTTTAGTAGTGGGGGTCTAGAAGTTGAGGGCGCTCAGGCAGGACACCACTGTTAGTTCAGGCTCTGCCATCTCATCTGCTATCCCTGGGTGTGCCCATTCTTCCATCTGTCAATGGGGAGTAGGATGTCTGCCCAAATAACTCCCAGCATTGATTTAACACTTTGTGTCCATAAACCATTCGTTCCATGGCTCCTCCTTATACAACCCCGAGAAGCAGGCCAGGCAGGTGTTCCTGTAAGCTCCAGTTTAGAGATGAGGTTACTGATATTCAGAGGGAGGTGGAGTTGCTGAAAGTCACAGAGGCCATAAGTGGCAGAGGGACAACCTGGGTGCCACTGGGGTCTCCCTATGATGAGGTCAGTGGTGGAAGACAGCAACTGGCCACAGAGTCAGAAGACTGGGCCAGCTGTCTGACTTCCGGTATGTGGCACAGCTTTACTGAAATTCAGTTCTTTGTCTGCAAAATAAGGGAAATAATCATGTGAGGTGTAAAGGGCTGGAGCACATGAAGGTGCTCGCTCTATAAATGGAAGAGTCTTTTTTTTTTTTTAAATTATTTTTTTGGTGAGGAAGATTGGCCCTGGCTAACAACTATTGCCAATCTTCCTCTTTTTGCTTGAGGAAGACTGTCACTGAGCTAACATCTGTGCCAGTCTTCCTCTATTTTGTCTGTGAGACACCACCACAGCATGGCTTGATGAGTGGTGTGTAGGCCCACACCCGGGATCTGAACCTGCAAACCCCAGACCACCGAGCGGAGCATGCGAACTTACCCACTAAGCCACTGGGCCAGCCCCGGAAGATTCGTTTATTACTGTGGTCTCACTTGGCCTCAGTCTCCCCAAACATAAAATAAAGATCTCAGCTTGAGCAACTTCTCAGGGGAATCGAGAGGATGCAGAGAAATGATGTTAGAGACAGTCTGGGGAAAACGGGCAGGCAGAGCAGGTGCTGACACTCTCATCACCACGGGGACACAGCTGTGGCAGAGCAGGAAGGACCGAAGATGGAATCGGACCCCTCCCAGCCATGGGTTTTCTACTACTGGGCTCTGGACTTTGATCAAGTCTCTAAATGTTGGTCAAACTGAGTTTTCTACCCTGGAGGACACAAGTAAAACTCGGGCGCCTTCAGGGGTGGTTGTGAGGGTCATATCAGAGAAGGACCCTGTGTATTTCAGAAGGGTCACAGCAGGGAACAGAGCCGTCATACTGGAATGCAGTGGCGTGGGGAGGCATTGAGTCAGGCTCCCCACGGAAACGAGGTCATTTGTTCCCCCCACTGTGTTTGCACTTGACTGGGAAGGAAAAGGAGGCAAAGAAAAGAGAACATGTTCCCAAGGTCACGCAGCAGGGTCAGGCTCACTCTGGGCGCGCTCCTCCCACCGCATCTCGTGGCCGCCATGTCTGGGCCATCCCCGCAGGCCCAGCATATATCTGTGTGTGCCCAGCCTGCTGCTGTGGGCAAATGAGAATTCAATAGGGACTTTTTGGTAGTTGGGTCAAGGGTGACATTGCAATGGAGGAAAGAGAAAGCTGGGAATTCCCTATGGTCTGGAGGGACATGACTTCCCAGAAGGCTCACCTTTTCTTCCTCCCTGGGTCTGACTCATAGTGACCCTGGGGGTCTGAGCAGTTGCCAAAGAGCCCAGCTCTCACCCCTCTCCCTAGAGCCCCACATGAGGCCTGCAGCTGGGTGGTGAGGTCGTTCTCCTCCTAGCTGAGTGAGGCTGTCTTCTCTTCCAGTTCCTTGACCTTGCTCATCAGCTCCTAAGTGTTGGCCATGGCATTCCTCAACTCCTCCTCCTTGGTCTTCATCTCCTCCTCTTGCTGATCCACGTTCAGGAGTGGCTTGATCTGGGCAGCAAGCAACACTATAGAGTTAGGGAGAGGGGCTTTGCCAGGGGACTAGGTGGTGGGCTGTGGGGGCTCTGCTGCAGACTGGACCTCACACCCCCATTGGGGTGGAAAGCATCTCTTGCTGCAACTGTGAGGTGGAGCCCCTCTCCACAGATGCCATGAAGCATCCCTAGGCTCCATAGAGAAGGTCCTTGCTTAGGACCAACCCTCAGGATGCTCTTTGATCTTGAGAGACAGAGTTAGGTGTTCCTCAGCATCCAGGTGCACCCAGCGCTTATGTCTGTTCTGTAAGTTGTCTGTGCTCCAAGAGCCCTGGTTAAATTCGCACCTCAGGTTTCCCTTCTCTTTCCCCCTTACTGAGTCTTCCCTCTCTCTGTCTTTCTCTTTCTTTGTCTGTCTTTCTCTCTCAATCTGTGTCTCTCTGTCTCTCTCTTCCTCTCTCTCTCTGTCTCTTTCACTCTCTGTGTGTCTCTCTCTGTCTGTCTGTCTTCGTCTCAGTCCCTCTGTTTCTCTCCAACTTCTTTCATCTTCTCCCCAGCATGAAGTCCCAACTCTCCACGTGGCCGTCCAGGCCTTCTATGACATAGCCCCACTCACTCCTGTTCCAGCTCAGCTGGCACATCCTGCCTCTGACCTCTGCCCCTGCTCTTCCCATCTCGGTCCGCTGGGCCTGCTCCACGCTTCAGCTGGGAGTGGTCCCTCTTCCGCACCCTCAGCGTCTACCTGGACCTCTCTGTGCATTTGGCACTTCTTACCCTGCAAGAGTGCCTGGTCCATCAGGTCCCATCACCCATGTTCCTCTGCCCTGCTGGACCCAGATGCCCTCGAACATCTCCCTCCTGCTGTCTGTGTCCCTAAAGCACCACACAGAGCGGGTGGGACAGGCCCTTGGGGCTATTTCCTGAGCTGATGCATACAGTTCTCAGAAGGGCAAATGCCACGGAAATGGGTTTGGGAGAAGGCATCACCTCTCTTTGAAGGTGACAGGTAAACCTCGTTTGTCGCCAGCCTGGTCTGTGGGGATCTGGGCAAAGTTCACATAGAAGGGTTCAAGGAAGCACCACAACTCGCAGCTACACAACACTTCAGTGAAAGCCTCCTAGAAAGCATTGTTTTTCCCGTTGACTCATCCTATCCGGCTTAGCTAAATAGGATTAGAGCTTAGTTCACAGAGTAAGGGTGAAAGATCTTTATTTTATTTTATTCTTTTACTCATTGGATCAGGACCTTGCTCTGCCATGTTTAATTGGTGACATTTTACTACCAGTAAAGAGCAGGGAATTTCTGAGGCTCTGTCTCCTTGTCACCTGAGACCACTGTGTCTTAAAGACTGCCGAGAAGGAATCTGAAAGACTCTTGGTCTGAGGCTTCCCAAAGAATAATGCGTACCCCAGGGGGGCAGGGGAGATGACTCAAGCATTGCACAGAAACGCTTTGATTTTCATTGTTACATACTTACTCTAAAAATAATAATTTAGTAAATAATTTTGAAAATTAATCATTTTTAAAAACGAAAAAGAACTGGTTAAATCCACAACTTTACGGATAACATTTGCTTAGGATGAGATTAAAGCAGGTAGGGATGCAGTTTCCTTTTAAAATGAAAATTTCAGGGGCCTTGCCTGGTGGCATAGTGGTTAGGTTTGCGTGCTCTGTTTCAGTGGCCTGGGGTTCACAGGTTAGGATCCCGGGTGTGGATCTACGCACCGCTCATCAAGCCATGCTTTGGAGGCATCTCACATACAAAACAGAGGAAGATTGGCACAGATGTTAGCTCAGGGCCAATCTTCCTCAAGCAAAAAAACCAGGAAGATTGACACAGATATTAGCGCAGGGCCAATCTTCCTCACAAAATAAACAAAATGAAAATTTTGAAATAAAAAAGTGAGTTGATATAAATAAAGGAGGTCAGTCATAGAACAGGTGGGGAAAGTGCCGGTGATGACTGAGCTTTGAGAAATGCTCATCTAGATCCCTCTGCAATCTCAGGCCCTCGAGGGGGCTGGCCTGTGTGTGGGTACCTTTGGAGATGCAGAACTTACTATCCCTCCCTTTAAATTTATGATTAGTACTAATTCTTAGAAAGTTCTTTCTTATGGGGAGGGAAAGAAGCTTCTGAGTGAGCTGTGGGGGGCTCAGGGCCACCTGAGATGACTTGGAGCCTGTCTCAACCCTTTGCATGGCTGTCCCAAACACCCTGCTCCTGGAGACAACACTCCTCCTGTCTCCTGAACACAGCAGCCCTGCATCCCGGCCTCCTCTGGTGCCCAGTGCCATGTTGCCTCTTCATGGGGCCCCAGGTGGGACACCATAGACCCAGCATGGTTCGACTTGCACATAGTAGGATGGCTCATGGCCTCCTGTGTTGGTTGAGGGTGGCCTGGATGCTTGGGGTGCCTGCAGCCCCGCGCCTGGCTGACTCACTCTGCCCTCGCTGCTGTCTCAGAAGAACCTTGGATGTGAGAGTTCAGATCGCATGATTTCCTAAGGTCGCTCCAGCTCTGAAGCCGAGGACCTCACTGAAGGAGCTGGAGCTGCCTCAGCATTCCCAGGGGTGAGGCGCTGATAACCAAGCCCACTTTCTGGGAGGAGGGGGACTCTGTCCATCCTAAGTGGATCTTATTTTGAGAGATGAGATAAAAGGTGGGAAGACATACTGTGATTTTTCTCAGGGAGAAATTAGCTCGTATTTGGAAGGAGGCTAGACTCCTCCTTTGTCTCCAAGGCACCTTCATTTTCAGACTGTCCCTACAACATCCCATGGCCTCGCACCCCCAAGAAGCACCTCCACCCAGGACCGAGGCCCCCAGCCCGCAGGCAACAGCAGTCCCGGCTGGCCTGGCCCCTCAGCCCTCACCTTGTTGTAGAGCTTCCACCGGCCCCAGAAACACAGCTGTGGGAACATGCGAAGGTTCCGCTGGATGGTTTTCAGGCCAATTCTGCAAAAAAGAATTGCACGGGTTACATGGGTTAAAATGCAGATGTCAGTGCCTGGCCTCCCCGATGGAACCGGTTCTGCTCACACAACACAAGGCTGGGACAGACCACTCATTTCTTCCTGCACTCCCCACCGTCCGTCCCTCCCTGGAAATCAACCATTAGTCTCTGAATCTCATCGATCTTCAGAGACTCTGGAATCCACCCCTTCTTGTTCTTTACAGCTTCGTTCAAGTGTCATTTGCTGAGGACCTCCTGTGCCCCAATGCCCTGGGCTGGATTGGGCTGGATTGGGCTGGCATCCCACCCCTCAGCCCCTAACTGATGCCCCTGCCTTCAGCCAGGGGTCACAGAGGGCCTGCTGGTTACTGTTATTATGTATTCATTACTGTTATTGTTACTACTACTATGACCACAAGGAGCCAGAGTCAACCACAGGTCAGCGGGGATAGCCCGAGCTACTCTCTAATTACTGTGTTAGGGAGGTGGCTGAAAAACGTGGCTCCCAGGGTAGGTGTTTGGAATGAGGCTTCCTGGTTCTAATCCTGACTCTCTCTGCATAAACCCGGCCCAGTCCCTTAACCCCTCTGACCTCAGTTTCCCCATCCGTAAAGTGGGGGTGCTGGCCCTATGACCTCCCTCTCACAGTATCATCATATGGATCAAGTAAGGAAAAGGCTGTGAAAGTCACGTGCAGATGGTAAAGAGAAGGGTTTATATTGGCTGGCCCCTGTTACGAGTTGAATTGTGTCCTGCCCGCCCCCCCCCCCCCCCCCAAAAGATAGGCTGAAGTCCTAACCTCCAGTACCTGTGAATGTGATCTTATTTGGAAATAGGAGCTTTGCGGATGTACTTAGTTAGGTTAAGATGAAGTCATGCTGGGGTTGGGTGGGCCCCTAATCCAAGATGACTGGTGTCCTTATAAAAAGAAGGAAGATGACGTGAAGACACAGACATAGAGAGAAGGCCCTGTGACGACAGAGGCAGAGATTGGAGTGATGCAGCCACAAGCCAAGGAATGCCAGGGGCCACCAGGACCAGAAGAGGCAAGACTGCATCCTCCCCTAGAGCCTTCGGAGGGAGCATGGCTCTGCCAGCCCCTTCATTTTGGACTGCTGGCCTGCAGAACTGTGAGAAAATAAATTTCTGTTGTTTTAAGGCACCCAGTTTGTGGTGCATTGTTACACAGGCCAGGAAGCTAACACAGGCCCCAAACAGGGGTCTTTGGGCCAGCAATGACATTGGCATCCTCACATCTTCCCACTGCAGTGTGTCGCTAATGGAGCTGACCACTGTACGTGTGTCAAGGTCCCTAGACGCTCCGTGTGGACGTGTGTGGCTTCAGCAGTCCCGCCTCTATGGTGTTTGTGAGTGCTACCTTTGTTCCAGCATCTTCTTGAACTCGACCCTGATGAGGAAACCCTGGAGCCGACACTGCAACATTGTCATGATCTTGGCCAGACGCTCTTCCCACGTGTCCTCAAGCTTGGCCAGGATGCATGCTCGGAAGAACCCCTGGGGAAAGAGACGCTCCTCCGACAAAAGCCCAGCTGTCACCAATAGCAGCCACTTGGGGGGAGTTTTAAATCAAAGAAGCAGAGGTTCAGAAGGGTCCTTAAAAGTCAGGAGACCCAGTCTGGTGCTGGTATTTGAGGCCCCTTGAAAACAGCTGGCCCCGAACTGGACACCTCTGACAGCCGGGCCACTGCCAGTCTCAGCGTCTACCTCCCCTTGCCCAGGTGCAGCCTGGATTCTCCTATGGGCTCCAGTCCCGGCCTTGCTAAGACCCATTGTTACAAGGCAAGCTCCAGGGAGCTGGAGACTCCTGGTCTGTTCACTGGTGGATCCCTGGAGCCTAGAACCGTGCCTGGCACACAGGGGGCGCTCCATGAGTATTGCCGAGTGTCCAGACGTGTCAGATGCACACGCAGCCTGGGGCTCACATCTCAAGGCCTCAGTTCCTCATCTGTGATTCCTCCCTTAGAGGGTTGCTATAAGGATTAAATTAGATAATGAGTGGAAAAGATGGGATCGGTGTGTGTGTATATGTGGGGGGTATTGGTTGACTTTCTAGAAAGGAGACAGAGTTTTACCAGTGCTGCACAATTTCAGGCATCCAGCTCTGGCGTGTGAGTGGGACTGTCCCCGGGAGAAATAAGGCCAGCTTTGCAAGGTGCGTTAGAAAGAGCCAGAAACACTCAACCTCAGGGAAGCATAAATTAGGGTCACAAGATACCATTTGCCCCTCCCCGCACCTGCAACATTTAAGACTTCTGATCAGACAAGTGTTGGCAAGGGTGTGGATCAAGGAGGGGGCGAATTGGTACAACGGTTTTGGACAATGGTTTGTGTTTCCTCGTCAAGTTGGCTGTTTGCACATCCTGCACCAGGAAACCGTCCTCCTCAGGGTATCTCAACCCTGGCTGCACATGGCCCCACCTGGCAGGATTCGAAAAGAAGCTGGTGCCTGGGCACAGGTGACATCAAGCAATTTCTGGGGCAGGCTTAAGGCATTGGTATTATTTTAAACCCCCCAGTGATTTGAATGTACAGCCAAGGTTGAGAACTTTGTTCTAGAGAAACTCCTACATAGGACCACCAGCAAGGATGTTCATAGTAGCATTGTTGGGAACCGCAAAGAAAACAAAGAAGCAATCCCAATGTGCAAGGACAGGAGAAAGGATAAGCCTGGCGTGGCCATCCGAGGCAATACGATATGGCGGTGACAATGAACGAATGTCACACAACAACCAACAAGGCTACATCTTAGAAACACGAGTAAGTGATAAAAACAAGTCACAGAAGAGTATGTTGAGTATGATATTTTCATGAAGCTCAAAGCCAGGCAAAACCTGAGGCCATATGTATATGTGATCAAACTGTTTTTAAAAAGATGAGAGAATGGTTGACATTCAGGACAAGGGCTACTCCTGGGAGTGGGCAGAAAGGACAGGAAAAAGATGCAAAGATTAATTCTGGGTTCTTTTTTTTTTTTTTCGAGGAACATTAGCCCTGAGCTAGTTGCCACTGCCAATCCTCCTCTTTTTGCTGAGGAAGACTGGCCCTAAACTAATATCCATGCCCACCTTCCTCCGTTTTATATGTGGGACGCCTACCACAGCATGGCTTGATGAGTGGTGCCATGTCTACGCCCAAGATCCGAACCGGCGAACCCCAGGCTGCAGAAGCACAACATGCACGCTTAACTTTAGCTGCGCCACTGGGCCGGCCCCTAATTCTGCGTTCTTAAGTGGGTTCATGAGAGCTCACTTTATTAGTGTATTTCCTAATGTAATATTTTTTTTATGCTTCTGGTAGGGACATGATAGAAAGTTCTGGAAGGAGAGAAGGAGCCAGGAGACCTGCATCTGGCTCAGCCTGCCTTCAATGTGCTCTGTGACCTTGGTCAAGTCACTCTCCTCTGGGGCCCTCGGTCTCCCTTCCTGTCCAGTGGGAGAGCAGGACCCTGAGCCCTCCCAGCTCTGAGCGTCTGCAATTCCCCATGTGGGGGCAGGGAGGAGAGACCCCAACTAAACCCTTCGGGAGGATGCTATGGATACTGATGGGAAAAGGATGGAGAAGATCCTATTCCCTCCTCCCCCCAAAATCCCAAGGAGCCAGCCATCACAGAGAGGAGACGTTGGGCTTGATGCTGTTAAATGTTTCTTGATATTTCAAAATTAATTGGCGTTGACATTTGGTCTTCAAGGAGCTGTGAGGTGAGCATTTGGCTGCAGGGTGGGGCCCACACGAGCCAACGCCCGGGATAGGGACCCAGTTTACAGGCAGAATCATCCTGTTCTCTGTTCTGCCCCTGCCACCAGAGCCCGCCTGGTCCTCGGGGAGCAAAGCTGTCCCCTGCAGCCCTGGGCCTTGCTGGACCTGACGTGCCCAGCGTAACCCCTGAACAACAGCAAGATGCCATCCGTTTGCCCAGGTGGCAGCTGTATCAGATTCTGGTCCAGTCCACCCCGTCTTCCCAGGCCTCGTGACCTGCGGTTGTGGGGCCTGGGGCCTGCTCTGTCCTGCCTAATTCTGTGAAATCGGGCACGTCACCTCCGCCCTCCCTCCAGGCTTTAGTACGTCTGACAAAGATGGGGTGGGGGAAGGCGGGGCCAGCTGGCCTCCGAGGTTCTCTCCTGCTCAAGTATTCAGTGATTCTGTGACATATCCTGGAGTGTTCCTGTAAGTGAATTTAGCTACACGAAGCACATCTTAATTGTGAAAGAGGCCAAAAGCTAAACGTTCTGGCAGATTCTGGAGCAGTGTCACGATTCTGCTAACACCCACTGTTACAAAGCAAGCTCCAGGGAGCTAGGAACTCCTTCTGTTCTGTTCACTGGTGGATCCCTGGAGCCCAGGACCATGCCTGGCACGCAGGGGGCACTCCATGAGCATTTGCCAAGCTACCAGACAGGTTGTATGCCCACGTATGCTGGAGCTTCCTCGTGCATCGGGCCACACCAGGCCTGCAGAGAAGCTGTGCCACCCACGAGACCTGGAAAGGAAGTGACCTGCTCTGGGCTACACAGAGGCAGCCTTTGAGCCTGATGCTCCTGCAAAGCCGGCACTCCTCCTGCGTCACCCGGGCTGTCATGCTGGGGTGCAGTCTGGCTGGTGAGCTGTAGATGGACACCTTCACTCAGCCTGGCTGGCCCTTACGATCCCGACAGGACTCTGTGGGGCCAGGAAGTGGGACAGACACAGGGCGGCCCAGGCCCTGTGAGTCAGGATCAGGTGGCCGCTCCATCTGAGTCAACCGCGACTCACCTGCCAGCTCAGGGCTGGGGCTCTCGGTGTGGGTGGGCTGGGAATACGGTGCTTCACTCCCAGACCCTGCACACACACACATGCTGCCAGGCCCTGGTCAAATCCAGGACCTTGATCCTGATTGGGTCCTTTTATTCTTAGAAATCTGGGGCTCACACCATCCTAAGAAATAACCTGCCGTTGATTGCGACTGCTCAGTCTGAGCTGGGTTCTCACACGCATTCCTACTATGCACACTGGAATCCCATGAGATGGACCTTATCAGCCCTGGTTTTCTAGAGGAGGAAACTGAGGCTCTTAGCAGCTGAGGCACTTGCCCAAGGCAGACAACTGGTCAAAGGCTGAGCCAGAAGTCACCCCTGAAGCCCACCTTGTTGGGACAAGGCTGAGTGGTGTAGGCAGGGAACACCACCGAAAGGCCCTACCTTGGTATGTCCGATTTTGTATTCATTCGTGTTCACCTCGATGGCCCCAAGCAGCAGCTCTGAGGCCCTCTTGTTGTCTACAAAGCCCTGAGGAATCACGCTGGGGTTCAGCACTTGGTACCCGGTGGGAGAGAGACGACAGTCGTCATCATTTCCAAGCCGGCAGCACAGGCGCACGTCCATACAGTTGCCCACTGATCTTTGAGATGGCCTTGGAGGCAGGGGTTGGACTAGTTTTACAGGTGCCCATGGCAGGCAGAGGGATGGGACAGACAGGGAACCAATGTCGCTGTGCATCGGTGTTCCTAGAAATGTAGACACCAAAATCTTTCCTTCCTGCTCTTTTCCTCCAGGTAGAGAAGTGCTTCTTGTCTTGACCTAGTGGCAGCCTCTCTGTGACTTAGACAAGACCTCCCCCAGTTAGAGACTTCAGAGGCCTTGGACAAGATGACCTCTAGTGCCCCTTCCCACTCCAGCAGTCTGTGGTCATATGTTCTAGCAAGTTGGGAGGGGGTAGAAATAAAAGAAACCCTCAGATGGAGGTCTCAGTTTGGGTTCCCCCAGAAGTAGACCCTGAGACCAGGATTCAAGTACAAGTAGTTTCTTTGGGAGGCGACAGAGTTGGGAAGTGGGGAAGGGAAGCCAATAATGGCGTGTTATCAAGCCAGTTATCACAACGGGCAGCTAGGGCTTAATGCTGCTGGGGGACACCGGGAACGGTGGTGTGCTTGAAATGGCCCCCACTGGCTCCAAGAGACAACTGTGCGCACCTCTTCCCAGCCCCACGATCAATGATGTCACACTGGTAGCTGGAAATCAGCCCGAGGTATATTTCACACCATGAAAATCAGCAGACGCTACAAATCTGGGTGGTTGTTTTTTTTAACGGGGACAGCCTGTTGGTAAACACTTACCAGCACGTTGCTCTCTGAGAACCAGTACAGAATGCGCCTCAGAGTCAGCCCACCAGAAGGGCGAAGGAGCTAAAGTGTTCATATGTCAACTGTCCTTAGTCACCGGTTGAGGGCTGTTCCTGGGGAGGCATTAACTCCTGATGCTTTCAGCCTGCCAAGTAGCAAAGCAGGCTCCAGCAGCCAGAGAGCCCGCAGGCAAAGAAACGCAGGTGCTGGCAGTTGAAAGTTGGGCCAACATGTACTAACGTCATGACAGCGAGGCAGTATCCATCATCGCACTCATCATGTCTGCTACAATGGGACTGTATTTGTCAACAGGCAATTCCTGGAAACTGCACTCCAGGTATCAGGAAGACGCCACTCACCTCTGTTTGAACTCTGCGTACTGCAGCCTGGTTGGGAAGCCCTTCCTGCAAACACGGATGCCTTCCAGCACTCTGCTGCAAGCCAGCTGGTGCATGCTCAGGCAGGCGTCCACCACGCCTGCCAAGAGGCAGGGACAGGATGGGGAGTCACCACTCTTGGGTGGGACAGGCCACTCCTTGCCACTCAAGGAGGTTGAACAGAGCATCCACGTCATCAACCCCAATCTCTCCCATCACTGCCCAGGGGGTCCCAGGTCCCCCACAATTCAGCCTCTCCTGAGTGTGACTTCTGGCTGGTGCCCACCCAGCCAGAACACGATTTTTGCTTTATAAAACAGCTAGAATACAATTTTTGGATGATCCATTGTTGGGAATTCTTTCAATGCCCCATTTTGCCCCAGTCATCCGTGATGATTAAAAGTGGGTTTAATTCGGAGCAAACCCTAACTCCACGGATCCCGAGGACATCCAGCAGGGAGACATGTCCCCATGATGTACCTGATTGCTTGAACTCATTGGGGACAATACAGCAGACCAAACGGGGGGTGGTGCTGTGAAGGGTGGCCATCAGCTTGTTTAACTTCCCTTGGAGATGGAGGAAAAAGAAAGAGTGAGTAAAGCTCAGCGTTGGTGTTGCAGGACAACCACGCTCAGGAGAGGCATTTACTTAGTTTACTTAATTAAATTAAAATCAAAATTCAGTTCTTCAGTCACTCCAGCCACTTTTCAAGTACTCACTAGCCAGATGTGGCTAGTGGCTACAGTATTGGATAGCATATTGGACAGTGGCTGCCATGTTGGACAGAAGAGAACATTTCCGTCATCTCAGAAAGTTCTGTTGGATAGCGCTCCTCTTGGAGGTCCAGTGACTTGCCCAAGGTGACAAGGTTTACAAGAAGCGGGGCCCCTCCTGACTCAGTGCTGGCTCATCGTGGAATCTTGGTACCGGAAGGAACCATGGCGCTTGTGTGGACAAACCCCTGCCCACTGTTAACCTCCCTACTGGATGGTGCCTCCTCCTCTGCTTGGATACCCCCAATGAGGTGTCCCACACTGGCTTAGGACAGCAGGATCCTTGGGAAATATCAAAATCTTTCTTCATGCAACATCTCCCCACTGGCTGCACTTCTGCACTTTGGAAGATGTCCCCAGTAATGCCCAAACTTTGTGGAAGCCCAGAAGACCAGCAGCCAAGTCTGGGGCACAAGATCTTAGGCATTGATATCTCCATTTGTCATGTTGGGCAAGTCCCATTACTCTCTGGGTTTCAGTCTGAAATGACATGGGTGGACTAGACTGTCTCTAAGGGTCTTTTCTTCCCTGTGGTCCTGTGACCCTTTCAAGGAAACAGACTCCTTGAATGAAAGAGGTAACCACAAACATAGAAATGAAATCATCCTGTCCTTGGCTGCGAGGTGGCAGCCAGACTACCACATAATTGAAAGGGAGGTTTGGGGGCACTAGACCCAACGTGGCCTCTGGGGCAGCCCCTACTCACCCTGTAGAAGTTGGAGATTGTCATGAAGGAGGAGCCTCTCTTCTGTTTCTTGCTTCTTTCATGTCAGTAACCAGCACGGGGGCAGGCAGCCCCATGACAGGCTCTGTGTCAAAGGACATGCATTCTCTGGTTTTAAAAAGGCCTTTCTTGGGACTCGGTGAGGTGGGGCCCTCCCACCAGGAAAATGAGATCTACCAGGAAGGGGCGAATGGGCTGACTGTGGCATAATTGTCAAAAGGAGTCCTGTGCTCCCTGGAGAGTGTGATTTAGGGCTGGCACAAGGTGACAAACTGCTCCCATTGCCTGGGGAGAAGGAAGAGCCCACAGACCGTCTAGAGGAACTGCCCATTGATGGTGAAAACGTCTTTGAGCCCCAGGACATTTGCAGTTCTTGCCCCACTGAGTGGCTACCCCTTTGGGAGGTTCCATCCAGGGTGTTCCCCTATGGGCCACGCAACCCTGATTGTGTGGGAGGCAGGGCTGGGCTCCGCATTTGCCTTAGACAGAAAGGAGGGAGCAGAAAATAAGCACAGAACATTTGGGTGTCAACTTTTCCAAAGGAGGATCACTCCACCTAGAGGTGAGACAGGCCCAGGATCAACCCGGTTGATGTAAATGCCCAGGATGCCTCTATATCCCTCTATCACAGTATCAGCCATGACCTAACTCAAGCAACTGGTCATTCATTCTTTCATTCATTCATTCATTCGTCATTGATTTATTCACCCAACAAGAGTTGAATAAGAGTCTTGTTTCCTTCTTTCCATTTTGGTCACTAAAGGGCATCAGCACAGGGAGACCGGGGTCAGCCGTACCTGGAGCCTCCTCTTCTTTGAGGAGAAGGGCCAGGATCCGCAGGGCCGATTTCTGGAACAAGCCCGCCACTGTTTCACTCAGGGGTCTTTGTTGTTCTCCAGCCAGCCTGTGATGTAGCCCACCTAGGAGAGGGAAATGCCGGTGGTTACATTTCTGGCCCAGCCTCCCCTACAGCTCTGCCTGGCTCTGGGTTCCCAGAACCAACCTTCAGCCCCATCCCTGGGGCTTCCATTCTTGTCCTGATGACTTGTCTGGAGTCCTAGGATGTGCCTGAACCCTAGCCTAAAGTGGAGGCCCCATTATCGGATTTCTTGGGCATTTGTACTTTGCCTGTCTAGGACACACCCTCTCTGAGCTTTGCCCACAAACCAGGACTCCCCAGCCTCTCTCTGCTGGGCTGTGACCTTCTCTTGCATGTCTTGCTTTGCAGGCCACACTGAGCCTCCCTGACCCCTGGGTCTTCTCCTGCCCAGGTGGGCCGATCTCCTTCCAGGCTCAGCCCTTGCAGTCAGTGACTGGCCTTGACCAGTGGACTCCTGAGCTATGGGCAGAACTCCCTACAAGGGCATCTGGTCTCTCCTTGCTGAGGAGCACACATTCCCTGGGTCATTGCCTGGTAGAAGGGGGGAATCCATCCACCCAGAACTGGGGGCTCCAGGTGTCCAGGCAATTGGACATCCACTAATTTGTTTTCCATTTTGCTACATGGCCTCAGCTGGAGAGGCAAAGAGAAAGGAGACTTTCAGATCCTTCCAGTGAGCACAGAAAACTGAGGGAAGCAGACGAGAAGGGAAAACCTTTGGGCTTTCCTTCTTCTGTCTAGGGTATAGCCATTCGTCACCTCTGGGCCTTATTATAGAGCCTTCTTGGAAGTGCATGGGCCCCATTCGACTTTGTATATTTCATTGCTATAAATACCAAACTCCTCTCATTTCACCGTGGCACGTGAGGTGGAGCATCACAATTCGGCCCCAAGCCTGCTCTTTGCTCTTGGTATGGCACGGTCCATTTGTAAGGAACTGGCATTGCTGTGGTTGATGAGACCGTAGAATCTTGGCCCCGATGCCCAATCCAGCAGCAGCTTTCCTGACAGCTCTGTCCTAAGGCTGCTGTTTCCTTGTAGTTGAACCCACAGAGACTCAACAAACTCTGGTGTTAACAGGAGCACTGGCATTTACGCCAATACTGGAATCCCAAGGAAACCAGACACATCCTTATAAGTTGGCTGAATGAGTGCGGTCTCCCCTATCAATTATTCAAATAGAACCTGAGTCCTGGCTTCACTTAATTTCCCTCTTCCTCAAGGACTGTTTGTCATGAGTGAAAAAGCCACTCCGTAGATGTCACCGTGTTGGTTTGGTGCCCACGACTTGTCAAAGGGATGGGTTCATCAGTTGGGGAATTGATAGGCTCATGGATTTTTTTTTTCTTTTTGCAAGTGTTGTCATTTCTGACCAAGATCGAAGTTTAGCCATCAAACTGAGGGCCATAGACAATGGTGTGGCCCTGGCAGGTCTGAGGGCATGAACTGCTGGCTGATCCCCAGGCAGGCATCCTCGGCCGGATTGCTTTGCAATTCTCAGAGCGAGAAGTGACAAGGAAGTATGAGCTGGAGTTCATTTCCATGACCTGATCACTGTGTCGTATCGTGGCTGTGCTATTGGAGGGAGGAAGCCTCAGGAAGGGTGTGGCAGGATGGACCTACAATGGGAGACGAAGGCAGCCAGCAGGTGGCCACGGGGGGCACCACACAGTACTCACAGTGCCTGCGTAGTGGACAAGCTCAAAGTGGGCCTCGGGCCCCTCGCCCTGGCCCCCTTTGGGCTTGCGGAAGTTGCTGGACTTGCCCAGGTGGTTGTCATACAAGACTGCCTTGAACACAGCATCAGTGGCCTTGGGGAAGACACACCGTTCCTCCAACATGGAGAAGGTGCCCATGGCCTAGAAGGGAAGAGGAGCGGATGGTGTCAGAGGAGGCCAGAGGATCCAGACAAGGCCGCTGTGGTGTTGGCCTGGGGTCGGTGGGAGGGGTGCCCCAGACACCCATGTAGCCAACAAGGAAGCAGAACTCTAGGCAATGACCTCTAATGGTGCCAGCGCTCCATGCTCTGGTCTTCAAATGCCACTGCCATTTAGACTTGAAAGAGGCTAGAAGTTACGGAGTCCAAGAGAGGGGAACACTGAAGTCTTCAGGGGCTACATAGCTCCCCAAATGCTAATCCCACCCAAACAGCAGTGCCAGGCTGGCTCGGCCCTCAGCAAACAGTGAGATCGATGACACTTGTCTTCTCTGCCTTTCATTCTCTTTCATGCGCTCCTCCTCCTCAATGACATTCCTGGCTACCAGGGCCCTCGTATGGTTCCAGGTCTCTTCTCACAAAAAGGGGAGCTCATAAATGCTTTTAGTGACTTCATAAACCCCCATCCACGGAAGGGCTGGATTTCTAAAGAAACTTCCGGAAGAGCCAATGCTTAACCCCAAAGCTCGAGCATGAGGACATTTCAGGCTCTGTCACGGTTGGACGGGAGGCTAATTGTAGGTGTTGGGGGGCAGGGGGATCGTGCGCGCAGCCTGTTTTGGGACACAGTTTTCTTGGGAGGCTCAGGCTGGCCCCACATCAGAGATCACTGGCTGCCATGATGACAGATCATCTGTGGCGGGACCGAGGATGAGCTTCAGAGACAAGATATGTTCTTTCTTTCTGTTATTTATTTATTTATTTTTTTAAAGATTTTATTTTTTTTCTTTTTCTCCCCAAAGCCCCCCGGTACATAGTTGTATATTCTTCGTTGTGGGTCCTTCTAGTTGTGGCATGTGGGACGCTGCCTCAGTGTGGTTTGATGAGCAGTGCCATGTCCGCGCCCAGGATTCGAACCAATGAAACACTGGGCCGCCTGCAGCGGAGCGCGCGAACCCAACCACTCGGCCACGGGGCCAGCCCCTCTTTCTGTTATTTTGTAAGTTTTCACCCTGAAATCAATTCAGACTTGCAAAAATAGCGCAAAGCATTTCTATAGATCCTTCATCCAACTCCTCCAATTGTTGACACAACCCCCGTCCGATGATGAAAAGCAAGAAATTAACATTGATCCCACACTACGAACAGACTTGGATCAGATTTTGTTGTGTCTCATTAACATCCTTTTTCTATCCCTTTTCTGCATTTAATCAAACAATATATTCTGGAACTACGCCATTTGCTGGAACGTTCCCTGCGGTGTGATTAGAGTGGAGGTGATCAGATTGCCTGGGTTAGAGCCTGACTCTGCCACTCACAAGTTGTATGACCTGGGACAAGTGACTTCCCTTCTCCGTGCCTCAGTGTTCTGATCTGTGAAACGGTTATAATAAATTACCCCTGCATACGGTAGCCTGTGATAATCCAGTGAGTTAAGACATACAACAGTCTGACTAACTGTGGCCGTGCCAGTCATTCTTGTACCCATTTTTTAGAGAGGAAGCTAGAGGTCAGACCAACCAAGGTCATCAGTGGCATTGCTGACTGCCCCAAATCCAGGAGGAAGCCAGGAGCCAACTCCCTGAAGGCCCCCCTCCTGAGGCATGCCCCGGTCAGGGCCCCGGCTCTCTCCTTTGAGAAGCAGGTTACCTTTTCCAGAAGGTCGATGCAGGCCTGCAGGTCAAGCCTGAGGTCTATGAAGACCCATTCGATACCCTCTCGCCTCCCGCTCCAGCGCGAACACGTGGTGGCTGGAGAACTGCCATAGCTTCTCATTGGTGGCGTTAACGCACAGCTGTTGAAGCGATTGAACTGTGGCGGGTGGACAGAGAGGGGCATCAGCCCAGACACAGACACAGCCTCTCCCAGGACCGCGTGAGAAGCCACCAGCAGAGCTAAAATGTGTCAAGCGCCTACCGTGTTGGCACTGTCCCCAATGCCTTCACGCTGACCACTCCATCCGTGCTCCATCACCCCTGTGAGAAGCCGTTCTCTGTTACCCTCCAATGCAAGGGCACAGAGCAGCTTGCACACATGCTCCGGGCCACACAGCACGGATACCGGGACCCGAAACCCAGGCAGCCAGGCTCCGGCCCCGTGTGGTTAAACGAAAATCATCGTGGGAAGAACCGTTTTCTTGCCAGGGACGGAAATCAGTTGAAACGCTTTACAGATCTGACGCCCTGCGTGCCTTGGGCTGTTCTTCTGTGTGAGGTTTGCCTCATCCTCACCTGCAGGATGAAGGAATTTGAGGGGTTTGCAAGCTTTTTTTTTAAGTCAGAGACTGCTTTCTCCGAATGAAACCCCACGCTGAAGCCTCATTCAAAAAACAGGTTAAAGCAGAGGTGTCATTGTAGTCACAGCACAATATTTACGGAGCACTGACACACCCCAGACCCCGGGCTAAGCTGAATCTGCTCAAAAACCTTACAAGGCAAGAATGATTCGTGTCCCCGTTTATAGATGAGGACACAGAGGCACACAGGTTGGAAGCGGCTGAGCCGGGATTCGAACCCTGTTTGTCTGCTGCACCACGCTCTGCTGCTGGCGTGGGGCGCCTTCTTCTCTAGTCCCATTCCGCTAGCCATCAGTGGCTGCCCAGGACCCTAAGGCTCCTTCCACCTATGAAATGAAATGATTCTATTGTAGACAGCAGCCAAATTAGCCTTTTAGAGCCTGAAAGAAATTCGGCTAAGCTGGGTTTTTTTTGTTTTTTTTTTAAAGATTTTATTTTTTCCTTTTTCTCCCCAAAGCCCCCGGTACATAGTTGTATATTCTTTGTTGTGGGTCCTTCTAGTTGTGGCGTGTGGGACGCCGCCTCAGCGTGGTTTGATGAGCAGTGCCATGTCCGCGCCCAGGACTCAAATCAATGAAACACTGGGCCACCTGCAGCAGAGCGTGCGAACTTAACCACTCGGCCACGGGGCCAGCCCCTCGGCTAAGCTGTTTTTAAAAAAAAAATAAATAAATCCATCTGTGGCTAGTGGAAATCTTACAATAATAGGATAGGGGAGCTCAAATGGACCCTAGAGACCACCTCTTTCAGACTGTTCATTTTAGAGTTGAGAAAACTGAGTCTCAGAGAGGGGTAGCCACTTTCCTAAGGCCACATGGCAGTTAGTGGCTGGCCTGAGTCCAGAACCAGGCCTACTGACTCTTAATCATGCTGCTTCCACTTACAAAGGTAAAATCTTCCTGACCCACGACACTAACCTCGTGATGAGACCTAAGGCTCATTCGTGTCGGCAAGAAGTGAGAGGCCACCGGTGTTGTGCTGGTAAATCAGCGATCCCTCTCAGTTCTAAGCTGTGTGCCTCTGTTTCCCCATCGATAAGGGACACAGATCATTCTTGCCTTATAAGGCTTTTGAGCAGACTCAGCTCAGCCCAGGGTCTGGGCTTAAAAAACGCCTGATTTGTAGTGTTGGCCAATTTCCATGGTGTAAATATTCATGTCGTGGCCGTGTATCACGATGATGTCTACTGGCTCACAAAATTCCAGAAAATTTGACAACCAGCCCTTGTGAGCCAGTACAGGCCGGCTCCAGCACACCACTCATTCTATCCATCATGTTCACAGCGTTCTTTATGACTCGGTGCCACACGATGAAGATGAAACTTTCCGGAGTCCAAAAGTCAGAGACCCAGGAGCAAACTGAGACTGGCCCGCCCCACGTCCAAGGTGAGGAGGCAGAGAACCATGGTGAAAAGTAGCTCATCAAAGGAGGCTGGCCACCCCAAGGGAGAAACAGAATGCGAGGGCAGGCATACCCCAAAGATCTGGAAGCTGGCGATGTCCAACACCCCGATAAAGAACTGCCTCTGCATCTTGGGGTCCCAGGTCTTGTTGATCCTGACCACCAGCCACTGGAACCTCTTGCCGTAGACGGCCTTTACCCAGGGCCCCGATGGTGTTGTTGCTCTGCTCCGTGTCCTGGCCCTTCTGCACGAACTCATTGCCTGCTTTGACCCGGGGCTCAGCGATGCCCCAGCCACACACCTACCCTCAGTGGTGTCCACTTGAGCTTGCTCCTCTCCGGGCTTCTGCTTGAACCTCATGTTGCCAAAGCGCGTGATGCCCCCGGTCAGCTTATGAATGCTGGTCTTCTCCTTGGTGCCGAAGCCCAGCACGTCAGAGCCTGCAAGGCCGCAGCGGGGAGAAAGCCACGCGCTCCTGGGTTCTCATTCCACAGAGCGGAGGCCACAGCACTGCCTCCAGGGGGTGGCACCAATGCATCACTGCGGCCCGGTGTGGGCTCTGGGGGTCAGACACGCCCTAAACAGGGACAGGTCTGTCTTCCTCCAAGGAGCCCAGACCAGGTGCTCTGCAATATTGTCATTTTATTCATTTAACCTCTCTGGCCTCTGCTGAGTCATCTGTAAGATGGGGACAGTAGGTGGTCATAAGGATAAACCAGAATGATGTGTAAATCTTTACTCCAGTGCTTGACACATCGTAAGTGCTCAGTAAATGGAAGTCGTATTATTACTGCCATCATTATTATTGTCAAGGCTTCATGCTAGATATTGGGAGAGGAGAAGGCAAAGATGCCTCAGGAATTGATTCTGTTGTCAAAGAGGGAGAAGGCCTCTGACATAAACATTCCTAACAGAAGTCACAGGCGCTCAGTGCCATCAGAGAAGGAGAGAGAGGGTGCGGGGGGAACTTGTAGCTGGACTGGGGAGGAAAGAAAGTCAGGTGGGGTGGATGGCCCCTTAAGTCCTGTGGAATTCTAGTTCAACCCTGCAAAGAGATGGCTTGCTACACTGGGCTTGTGATGCATGCCAAGTGCAACCCCAGAAATCTCCAGAAAAGACCTTGGCTGTTCCTGACAGCTCTGTGTAGCGCCCCCACCCCAATTTTGGTGGCAGTGCACGCCACGCAAGGCCCCCAAGTTTCCGTCTGGCCCTCCCTGTGTTGCGCCAGCCACGCCCTCCTGCTCACGTCTGTGATCTGAAACTCCTCCCCCTTGTCCACATAATCCACCACAGTGATGCCCGGCTTACCCAGTGGTACTGCTTAGCGTGGGGACCAGCAGCAGACTCTCTGTCAAGAGCGGGAAAGCAGGTTAACAGCTCGGTGACATGTGGTTTTCTTCTCCTTCCTTTTGAACCCTTTTTAACCCATATCTCTAAATGCCTCGCATGTACCAGGCATGATGGTGGGCATCATAGGGGTTATGGGGTGAATAAGTCATGGCCCCTGCCCTCTGGCATCACCTGGAGTCATAGAGGGACTTGAACAGGGTCACATGAGAAGCTTTGGCGTGGCAAGAGGGTCTCAGGAACTCGGTTGTGTCCTCTGTCACTTGGCCCAGTACCTGGCTCCTCGTAGGCACCCAATAGATATTTTTATAAATGATTTCATATCTTTCTCCTTCCTCTCTCCTATAGAGGGCACGTCGTTCTCAAAGGCAGAAGGTAACACAATGACTGCAGGGGGCAATAACACTCACACGCGTATAATATGCACGGGTTGTTGTTGCTTTTACAAAGAAATATGTGCACTTCTGTTTTTCTCCAAATGGGTGTCCCTCTTGGTCTATCTTTGTTTTTTTACTTTTGGAAGAGACACGGGCGCAAGAAATATTTTCCTTTTCTTTCACCTCTACTGTGGAGAAAAACTACAGCCCAAGAAGGAAGATTAATGGTGACTGTCGCTCTGCTCCAGAGTCGAGAAGGCAATAGGGCTTGGTAGGGAGTGTGATAAACAGGAGAGCTTGAGCTCCATCCAAAGGGACCACCACCACCCAGCTGCCCTGATTATTGCCACGTGGGAGGGCAGGCCCATGGCTACCAGATCTTCTGCTACTCCAGAGAAACAGGGAAACTGGGTTTTTATCTGAAGTCTTCCAATTTCAAAATGCCACCCGTTCATTGAAAAGTACGCTGTGTCCAACACAAATACAGCCCAACTGTGAGTGGGGGTGGTACGCAATGCTCTAGTCTCTGGTTGGGTTAGGAGATGTGTACGTGGATGATCAAGTTTCATCCCTCCCCGACCTTACATCCTGAGCAGGTCTGCCATGGATAGTTGAGCATGTTGGTGCCCGCACAAGGGCATCCAGCTGAGTGTGTGAGTGCAGTCTGCTAGCCGAGCTGTGCGCTCGGTGCAGGCTGTGTCCACCCAGAGGGGCGCCTATTCTTATGGCACATGCAAACACTGGCAGGGCCAACTGTGGCCCTGGGCTGACTTCTCTGCTGCGGTCTGAGCTTCAGGCCCAGAGGCAGCAGGTCCAAGACCCAGGGGTCTAAAGCCACATATCCCAGGTCCACGTCTCAGCTGTGAGTTACAGGCACCCCAAAGCCCCATCTGTGAAACGGCTCCCAATGGTGTTAAGCCTCGTAAGGCTGCTGTGAGCATGAGCTGTGCCAGTAGCACCTTGAGAGAGTTCTCTGTGACCCATTCACATAACTCTAAAGGGATTCCCACAGAACCACAGGGCTGGCCCCAGACCCTGCGCACACGAGAATCCTTCCCTTATGGAAAAGAGAGGAAAAGCAAGTCAAGGGGCAGGCAGGTAGGCAAAAAAATATTTACCGACAAGTTCAGGCTCCCTGTTGGAGAGAATCTGGTAGAAAATGTGGCATCTCCTCTCGTCCGCTTGCTGTGAGATGGCACGAGATTTCTCTAAGACATCTGGAAAAGAACAAGCAAAAATGCCCCTAAGTGCAGACCCATTCTGCCTGGAGTGCAGGGTTCCATGGAAAGCAAGGTTCCCCTCTCCATGAAGCCCAGTGCCAGAGCCATCATGAGCCCATTCATCCCCCTCTCTCAGACACACAGCTTCAGGGGGCCTGACCGCCGACAGAGGGGAGCCCAGGAGCAGAGCCAGCCTCCTGGGCACCAGACAGGCCGTGTTCAGAAGCGCCCTGCGCTTGATTTAATATTCCTCTGTTGCCGTTTTGAAGTTCTTAAAACTTTCTGAACAGGGCGCCGTTCATTTTCATTTTGCACTGGGCCCCACAAATTATGTAGCTTGTCCTGCCCAGAAGAACCCTCCAGAAGGGGCCTGACTCACAGCTCTCGATGTCAGCTCCAGCCAGTTTGCCTATAGTTCCGGAGTGGGTTCGGATGAGCTTGCCCTGAGCAGGGAGGAGAGGAGAGGGTCACGAGGGAGCAAGCGTGTAGCTCTAGAGCAACTTGGCCCGGGTCCGGCCACGGTCACTCATGGACAGCCCCCTGAATTCTAAGGGTGCTGCGGAGAAGGGAACTGGGCCAGACGTGGCTGCATGTGGAGCTGTGGGTTTTCCACGCACGTGGGCAGGGAAGGAGATGGACAGGTCTCAGAGCTAAATCTAGGGTCTGTGGGGTAGCTTTAGGTTTGGGGCATTTGTAGGGGAGAGGAAGGCTCAGCAGGAAGGGCTGGGACCCTTTGGAATTCCGCTTAGAGGCAGGCGTGGTGGGCCAGCCAAAGGTGGGGAGCCCTGCACCCAGTTTCCTTACCCAGCGACGTCGCCTCCGTCTAGCTGACCTTCAGCGGAACCACCGATAAATTCTCCCAGAAGCAGGAGTGCCTGGATCTCCACCTCGCTTTGCTCCGCCCATTTGCCCTCACCTCCAGTCCCCACCTGCCCCCACCTCCTCCCCACCGGGCTGTTCTCTGAGCCCTGCCAGCCCACTGGCTCGGGGATGAGAGGCCCCAGCAGGAGGCTGGGAGTCAGGAGACAAAGGTCAGAGCATTTCTCAGCCTTCTATGACTCCAGCTCCCACCAGATGGCCATGTCAGCTTCCGAATCCACCAGGGCCCTGGGGACGGCCTCTCTCCTAGATCCCTCCAGTGGTGGGGAAGGAGGGAAGGCTTATCACCATGTTACCAATTCCCTGCATTCAAGTCCCTTGATTTAAATACCAAGGCGGGCTCTGGCAGATAACACGTTAAAAAGCTCTGGGAAGAAAATGAGTGGCTTGCCTCATCCCATTCGCCTGTTTAAATCAGCCCCAATTTCCTTACCTGGAATGGGGTGATGACACCTGTCCCACCACCCCCAGGGGCCACCATTGGGGCTGCTCGCACTTACAAAGCGAAGCGAGAGGAGTTGTTATTCCTCATGGTCCTGGCATTCCCGAAAGCCTCTGGCACAGGGTTCACCTGGATGACTTGATTTTCCAGGGACCCCTGACACGGGGAGAAACACAGTGGCGGGGGTGGGGTGGGGGGGAGTGGCCTGTCCACAGCTGCCTGGGGACTCAGGGCTTTCTTTCTTTCTTTTTTTTTTTGAGGAAGATTAGCCCTGAGCTAACTACTGCCAATCCTCCTCTTTTTGCTGAGGAAGAGTGGCCCTGAGCTAACATCCGTGCCCATCTTCCTCTGCTTTATATGTGGGATGCCTACCACAGCATGGCTTTTGCCAAGTGATGCCATGCCCACACCCTGGATCCAAACCAGTGAACCTCTGGCCGCCGAGGAGCAGAACGTGTGCACTTTGCTGCGCCACCAGGCCAGCCCCGACCAAGGGCTTTCAAAGATCAGTGGCTTATGCGCCAGGAAGCAGGAGGGGAATGGCCTTGGGAAGGCAGGGAAATCGGGGCTGGAAGGAACCTGGGAAGAGGGCCGCCACCTCACAACTGTCCCCTGCAGCCCCCGACATCAGAGGAGCGCCTGGCAGACGACGGACCTTGACTCTTAGCTGCTGTTGCCTCACTTTGCTGTGGGTGGAGAGACCCAGACCCCTGAGGGAGCTGGGAACTCCTCCGTGGGCCTCCCTGCTCCTCCTCTGTCGGCTTCCGCTTTTTACAGCTGCTGCCAGTCCAGCTAAGACGCCTCGCGCCCCGGGGCTGCCAGGGCCTGCCGAAGCAGCTTCAAGAGCAGCCCTCGTTCCCCATTTCTCCCCTGTCAAGCACGAGTGGCTCGGGCCCCTGCCCTTCTGAGGGCAGACGCGGCCTGGGGCAGCAGAATCCATCCTGCGGGAGGAGACTGGATCTGCGGCTGCTGTCCCCCTGTGTGACCCCACCCAAGTCGCTTCTCTCTAACCTCAATCTCCTCGTGTGCAAAATGGCCATAACCAGCGCAGCAGCTGCGGGGGTCACGTGGCTTCTGCTGTGTGTGCCCTTCTGTGAGTGCCTGAAGACGGGGCGGGCTGGGGACGACAGACCCTGAGCCTGCCCAGTGGACCCTACCTTCCCATCCGGGGACTCTTTGCCAGTTCCTCCCATACTGGCAAAGTACTGGATGACCTTCCTGATGTTCTCAGTCTTGCCAGAACCAGATTCTCCACTGTAGGTGGAAAATGGGAGCAGACAGTGAAGCACAAAGAGGGGACTGGCCGCAGAGGAGCAAAGCAATAAAAGGAGCAGGCTGAGCGTGGCCACGTGTCACCCCTCAGCCGAGACAGGCGGGGGTGGGGGTGGGGCTTGGGGACGTGGAGGCCCCCCAGGGTTTAGCAAGTGCAGCCTTACTCATCGGCTGAGCCCACTCCCTGCCTGCTGATTTCCGTACAAAATCCCACCAATTCATTCTAAGAAGGCTTAATTACATATGTAAGACGCAGACCTAATTATGTGTCTATAGACTGAGAGACAGAAGGGACACTTACGTGATTAGCATAGACTGATTTTCACGGTCTGCAGGGAAGAAAACAGCAACAGGAAGATGTAACTAGGAAATGGTGAGAAAGTAGACATTTGACATCACCCTAGCCACACGGTCCACATCTCCTGGCATCCCACCCAGCTCGGACAGTGGATGCTGAAAACCCAGGATCCTGGGGGGTCCGTGGCCACATCCCTACCTCTGCAGCATACACCCTTGCAGAAAGGGCCAAGAATTTGCCAGTCACTCTGTTTCTACCTGCCCCATCCCATAAAGCTACCCCGTCATAAGCAACATAAAGAGAAGTGTTAATAAAAATCGCTACACGGGGCTACTGTACCGTATGGCAGAGGTCATACAGGGAATGGGAAAGTGTTGACTTGAGTTCTGGGCAAGTTACTTAACTTGGCATCCCATATTTTTGTGATGCTTAAATGAGATAGGGCGCGAGGTCAGGCTGGTACTCAGCAAGTGCCCCGTGCACTCACGGAGCACTGGTACCTGGTATCCATATCACGCACTGCTGCTGCTCGTGTATGTAGCAAAGAACTTCAGTGGGTGGCATGGGGTCAGTGTTGGGAGAGAGTAGCAGGTGGTTCCAATGCTTTTGGAGTCACAATGGCAAAGGAGTTTTTGGCACCCACCACGAGAGCCCCAACGGGCCCCACCCCACTTACTCATGAGCATGTCATGGTAGGCGTTGTCCGAGATGGACAAGAAGTGGGGCGGCATCTCCCTGCGCTTCTTGCCTTCGTACATGTTGGCCACACGGGCCCCGTAGATGGGCAGCCACTTGTAGGTGTTGACTGTCACACAGAATAAGCCTGAGCAGGTCTGGTGGGAAGGAAGGAGGATGGTCATCTCGCCCTTTCTCCTGGTTCCCTCTTCCCTCTGGGCCCCAGCCTGTCACAGAGGAGCCTGGTTGGAGGTTGCTGCCAGCCTGGAGAGATACGGTAGTGTCTTCTCTGGGGACAAAATCTACATCTGAGTATCTCTTGAGTAAGCAATAATCAATCAAATTAAAATAATCAATAGGATTATTTGAATAATACAGTGACTATATGGACAAATATGCAGCAAAAAGTCCCCCCCACCTGCTCAGTGGCCACCCCCTCCTCCTACAAGTAAGAGTCATGTTAGTTTCTAATACCCCCTTCCCCAGTTTTTGGTGCATATACAAACAAATCTAGAGACGCATTTTTATCTCTGTCCCCACCACCACCGCCTTGTTTTTAAAACAAAAGATAGTCTTTGACAATGCTGTTTTATGTCTTGCTTTTTCCACTTAATATATCTGGGAGATTTTTTCATGAGAGTTCACAGGGAGATTTCTGGGGTGTTTTTGTTTTGGGTTTTTTTTGGGTGTTTTGTTTGAGTTTTTTTTTTTTGAGGAAGTCTGACCCTAAGCTAACATCATGCCCATCTTCCCCTACTTCATACGTGGGACGCCTACCACAGCATGGCTTTTGCCAAGTGGTGCCATGTCCTCACCTGGGATCCCAACCGGCGAACCCTGGGCCACCGAGAAGCAGAACGTGCACACTTAACCGCTGCGCGACTGGGCCGGCCCCCTGGGGTGTTTTAAAAGCTGTGGAGTCATCACTGTACAGACATGGTCCCCTACTGTTGGGCAGCTAGGTTTGCTCTGCTCTTAAGAAAAGATCAGGGGCCAGCCCTGTGGCGGAGTGGTTAAGTTCTCGCACTCTGCTTTGGTGGCCCAGGGTTTTGCCGGTTCGAATCCTGGGGGCGGACATGGCACTACTCATCAGGCCATGTTGAGGCAGTGTCCGACATGCCACATCTAGAAGAACCCACAACTAAAAATATACAACTATGTACTGGGGGGCTTTGGGGAGAAAAAGGAAAAATAAAATCTTTAAAAAAAAAAAGAAGAAGAGACACTAACTTCTCTTTTCACCCTAAGGCCATTTTGGAATCAAATCATTCCATTAAAGAAAAATCAGAAGGGGCTGGCCCCATGGCTTAGTGGTTAAGTTCGCACGCTCCGCTGCAGGTGGCCCACTGTTTTGTTGGTTCGAATCTTGGGCACCGACATGGCACTGCTCATCAAACCACGCTGAGGCAGCATCCCACATGCCACAACTAGAAGGACCCACAACTAAGAATATACAACTATGTACCAGGGGGCTTTGGGGAGAAAAAGGAAAAAAATTTAAAAAATAAAAAATCAGAAAAAGCAGTGAGGTAGTAAAAGAAATGATCTGAGGGGAGAATGAGTAGGGTCAGGAAATAGCCAAATCCATGGGTCCCCATGAAAGGTTCCCTTCTCCTTGCTGGACACTCACATTGACGTCTGGTGCCCCGACTCTGTGCCTCTTTTCAATTCAACTTTAAAACCTTCCACTTTGGTCCAAGTGGGAATAAACGCCCCCCAGCTTCTCCTTAGCATAGCTGCGATATATTGAGTTTTTTAAAGGAATCTTATTAAATAGAAGATGAGCTCAAGGAAAGAGAAGCAAAGAGAAGAGAAAAAGAACCCAAAGAGTTGAGAGTATGATGCACAGTGTCTCATCCTGGGACTCCAGCCATTGAGTCACTCTGGCCCTCCAGCCCTGTCTGACGTGGTTGGGGGTGGGGCCAACAGCAGCCCGGAAGCCAGTTATGTCCCTGTTTGGGTCAGAATGAAAAGGGGAGGTCCCTCATACCAGTTGGGGTTGCGAGCAGCCCCTGCCTGCCAGACTTGTTTAACCAGCAGTTCAAACGAAGAGCTTTCAACAGAGGCTCCCTGCCCCGGTTCCTCAGGCCACACTCCACAGAGCCGAAAGTCCTTTAGCCCAAAGACACGGTGTGGCTGCCCCTGGGGAGCAAGCTTCTTGGCTGCAGAGTGGCCCCAAGTAAGCTGCAGCCCTGAGCTTGGCCACTGAGCCCACAGAGACATTCTCAGCCCCAGCTCCAGGCTCAGCTGAGGGTGGATGTGGTTCTTCCCAGATTGAGGTCCGGTGAAGCCCCCAATGAGCTTCAGGCCCAGCAAATATACCCACGAGCTTTCCAGAGCTCTTTCATTATGGTCTGGGGCTACAGTTCCCTGAATCTGGAGCTCAGGCAGCATGGAAATAGGACAGGGGAGGAAGCATGTTGCAGCCATCTTGGCTGTCACCATAAACCCAGGGAGTGGCCCCTGAGCTTGAAGTCAGAGCCAACCTCACCTATTCCTACCAGAGAATCATTTTTCCTTTTCAATGAAGACATCTAGAGAGGCAAACACCAAAACTTCTTTACGTCTCCTGTTGAGTCTGGCCACCAGCTCCTTCAGGAAGTCATCCTTCTGTCTTAGGGTTTCCAAGATGGTCGGGGGACTGATGGTAGCCCACTTGGTTCATCCTAGCATTGTGCTCAATGTTTGTTGAAGGAATGAATGGTTGGATGGATGGAGAGAAGGAAGGATGAAAATAAGGAAGGAAGGAAGAAAAGAAGGATAGATAAATGGATGGATGGAGGATAGATGTATGAACGGAGGGAGGATGGAAAATGGATGGATGGATGGATGGATGGATGGATGGACAAACAGACAGAGAGGGCCTTCTAATAAAGCCATCTGAAGTCACTAGGGAGAAAATGATGTTTTGACTGGGGAGTTTGCAGGAGTGGGGCGGGGAAGAAGACTTCTGGGTGACAACTTCAGCAAAAGGTGTTTCAACTGCCCGTGGAGATGGTGCCATCACTGAGATGCCAAAGACTTGGGGTGGAAGTTCTAACACATCAAAAACGTGGTCCCTGTGCCCTCGTCTGAGCCATAATGTGTACTGCTTCCTGGGGAAGGTAGAGTAGCTGCCCCCTCCCCATCAGGAGAGGGCGAAGATCTGCAGCCGCCCCTTCTTCCCAGCGCCCAGCCCTGGGCACTCACAGAGACCCTCACGTTGGTGTAGCGTTGGCGGGAACACTGGTCTCATTCAAGAAGGTCTTGTCTGCCATGTCGCTGGCCTGTAGAATTTGAGTAGGTTCGTCTGCTGGATATCATCCTTCTTCATGGTGAGGGTCCAGTGAGGGGAGTAGTGTCAAGACGTAGAAGCACGTGAATGAGGACACAGTGCTGTCACAGCCATAGTGGCACCTGGCACAGGGTCCCACACACTCTCTGGTGCCCTGGAAGGAGCTGGAGTCAGGCATCCATGGGCCCAACTCCTTGTCCAGCCATGTCCCACTGTGAGACTTGGGATGGAGAGGGACTTCCGAGGCCACATGAGCCCTAACTGCCTCCCCTCTGAAGTAAGGATGACAATAGCTTCCTTGCCAGGTTGCTGGAAGAATTATATGGACTTAAGTGGGATCGTGTAAGATACCTCGTGAGCTATGAAGTTCCCTCTCTACATTCAGAGCACCTCTGGCCCACGCTCCTCTTTCCATCAAGTCCACTCTGGTAGCTAATCAGAGCTCACCCTTTGCTCCCAGGGACACTTTATAGAGATGTGACTCTTAGCTCTCTGCCTTGAGGATTAGTGGTGGTTTCTAAATATCCATGAACTTTTCTATTTAAAAAAAGACATTCCCCTGCTCCCACCAAACCACCTTACAGGATCAAATTGAAAGCAAGCAAGCAAAGAAGACAAAAAAAGACATCAATGAGTGTTGAGCTGTGGATGTGTTAGGGTGGAAATACTACGGCATTAAGAGCCCAGAGCTGGGGCTGGCCCCATGGCCAAGTGGTTAAGTTCGAGCGCTCCGCTGCGGGTGGCCCAGTGTTTCGTTGGTTCGAATCCTGGGCGCGGACATGGCACTGCTCATCAAACCACGCTGAGGCAGCGTCCCACATGGCACAGCTAGAAGGACCCACAACGAAGAATATACAACTATGTACTGGGGGGATTTGGGGAGAAAAAGGAAAAAAATAAAAAATCTTTAAGAGCCCAGAGCTCCCGTGCAAGGGGGGCAAATCCCATCCCCCCTAAACAGAAACCAGCACCAGCTCTTCAGTTCCAGCATCCAGGACCAAATCTGAAGATATGTGATCCAGAAAATAACTATCTTCGGGCTGCCTGCAGCCTGATATTGTGGTTTGCACACGTACTGGGATTTCTGGCACTTTTAATAATTTATGAGTCCAATATGCAGATGATTTGAAATCTTGGAAAATCCGCCCAGTAGTGGTTACCTAGTAAATCAAACTGGGTTCTATTCTGAGTCCATTTCTGGTGGTAGTTTCCAGATCTCTGGGCCTCGCCCACAGGCGAACACTTCTCTTTCAGTTCCAGCAGAGGAACGGAGGCCTTTGCCTGTTTCTTAGAAGCCAGATGAGTCAGTCTTTTCTGTCCCAAACCTGCTGGGTGGCGTGTTCACAGTGGCTGCTCACAGAAGTTGTGTTGTCCTTAAATAAGAATTGTCCTTAAATTGCACGGAAACTGGGGCCTCTGGCGCTCCACTCTCGTCATCCATCATTCCTTGCAACACTGCAATGCTCTGCCCTTCTGAAAAGCATGTTTCTCCCAAGAATTCAGCTTGACTTTCGTGTTCAAACCCACTTTAACCCAGCTGTAGCCTCATCACTCTCCTGCCGCTCCCCTCGAAGGGAGGCGAGGTGAAAGTAAAGCTCAGCTATTGCAAGTTCTGATCATGGAAGCTCTCCGAATTCTCCTATTTGTGAAATTAACCAAGTGTCAACCTCACACTCCCCCTTCACAACCCACCAAGCAGAGGAGGCGTGTTGATGTGGTGGGGGCACAGGCGCTGCAGCCAGACACAGCTGGATTTGAATGTGAGTTGATCATTTGCTGTCTTTGTGACCGTGGGCAAGTTGCCTACATCTCCTTGATCCTCTGCAAAATTGGATCAATAAATCCCACTATATAAGGTTATTAAAAGGATTAAACAAAGCGTCCAGTGTCTCACCACAAGTCTGCCACAGGGCAGGGGTTGAATAAACCAGATTTTCTATCCACTCTCTCAAGTCATCCGTCACAGTCAGACGCAGTGTGGACCAGCAGAGAGACTGGTGTGCTGGAAAGCCAGCGAAATGGAAAAAAAATTCCCTGGTTTATACCCTTTGTCCATTCCCATGGCGTAAATACTTCCACCATGGCTGACCTTAAGCTGTCGAAGGTTTACCAACCGGCTGCAAAGCCCCAGAATGTTTAGCATTGGGTCCTCACCAGCCAGGACAAGCCCAGCCCCAGTGCGCCACCGCCATGCAGCAAGGGGCTCGGGAGCCGCCATCTGTTGACCGTGCAGCTGAAGAGCCCACCCAGGTTGGCCAGGGTGTTCTGGGCCCTGTCTCATGCCATCATGGCACACGGTGCAACTGCTGACGGGAAGGATGCTCACTCTCACTCTTAGAACACAGACAGATTCCGCCTGAGAGCTGTTTGAGACTTTAAAGCTAAGGAACTCTCATGAGAGTCTCTCACGCACGTGTACCGTTTCAGAGCGTCCAGAGTGCTGTCACGTGTCCTATCATGTGGGACTCTATCGTGAGAGAGCCAAAGCTCAGAAAGGGGAAGTGTCTTGCCTGAGGCCACACAGCTTGAGTGTAGTTGAGTCTGGACTTGAACCCAGCACATGGGACTGGGGGCATCTGCTCCTCTTGCCGCTCTGCCTCGTTAGCAGAACCACGGACAGCAGAGCCTGGGTGTCCGCCACTCGCAAAGCTCGGTTTCATCCTAGAGGTGGTTCTCTACTCACCTGATTGGTGACTGTCTTCACTGTGACCTGGTCATCCTGTTCAGACTGAGTCTCCCCAGCGACGAAGCCCTCTTTCTCATCTTCGACCCAGGAGGAACTCTTGATGTCATAGGGCTCATTCGTGGCTTCAATCCTCTCCTTTTCAGGAGGTGCCAGGATGGGCATCGGATCCACATCATCCCCACATTCGCCTTTGTATCCACCGGGCATCACGGTTTGGCTGAGGGAGGAGCAGGAAGGAACTGAGGGTGGGAGCCAGGATTTCTCTGGGTGCTATAGGGGAAAGCAAGGATGGTTCACCAAGACTGGCGTATGGGCTGGGGCAAACGTCCCGAGAGACAGGGGGTTGCTTCTCTCATGTCACTTTGGGTGTCTTGGTGCCATTAGGTGTTAGGAACTGAGAAGAAGGAATAAGCTTACTCCTCAGAGTGCATACCCCCCACCAACCACAAAAGACTTCTGCATCTGCCATCTCACACAAGGGCTGTGAGGTAGGGATCAGGAAGCTTATTCTAAGGAGGAGAAGATGAGGGCCGGGAGAGGTTAAAGCAAGAAATTTTAACTGTGAAATGGGACAGGAAAACAATTACTGCTTGGTTTTCACTTTCCCTTAGGGTATGAGCACAGGCCACAGACACAGTCATACCAGCACTGCTGTGGTTTGTCCCCAACAGAAATCACAGCTATTCTCCTTTCATTTTAGTGTGGTTGCAGACATCTCAAAATGCTATTTACCGTCGTCTCAACTTCGAAATTACGGTCTTAGCCGACCCTCAGTTAGCTGTGGTTATTTAAATCTATTAACAAAGAAGTCCACTTATGATTACTGTATGACAAGCTGATTTTTAAAAATATTTTGATAACTGCGTTTTAGTACTGTTGGTTTCCTCCGTGACCCTATGTAGTTATTTCATGCATTTAGACACACTGATCTGAGCAGGGGTCCACAGGCTTCACCAGATGCCAGGTGGGTGGCTGGAATAGAATGACTGCTGGGGTTTAAGGATTGCCTCTCCTAAGATGAGGCCAGCCTGGGGTCAAGCCTGAGCCTCTTGGTTTCCAAACCCAGATAATTTCAACAAACCATCAGGAAGGAGAAGACGTAGGACTCAGTAGCAAAGAGAGAAGTCAGGAGCATCCCAGCTGGTCTTGGGGTGAAGAACCTTCTCGAAGGTCTGGGGACGCGGTGGTTCTGAGCCCCTTTGCCAGCGATACTGTTCTCGAGGCATCTTTAAATAACCTAGCTTGAGATTGAGGGTCTCCCCTGGGCCCCTGCTGCACCCGGCTATCTGCAGGAGAGCTCCAGCTTTTCCTGCAAGGGGCCCTGGTGTTTCCAAAAAAGGCTGAGCCAGGACAGGCAGCAAGGGAGGCAAAGCCAGACCTCTCTCCTCTTCTATTCTCCCTGTGGGGTCTGGCTTAGAGAGTTCTGTTTGGAGCCTGGGTTCCTGACCTCAACGCCGGTCCATTTCCCAGAAATTATGAACTAGGAAGGCAGGGATCCTGTGCCCTCGTGGGCCACAGACCTCTTTGGCCATTTAGTGATGTCTGCAGTTCCGTTGGACAAAATGGTTTAAATTCAGGTCATAAAGTACGTAGGATCACCAAGGAAACAAATGGCATTAAAATATAATTCACACAATGTTAATCATGCATGATATGGTAATACATGCACTTCTTAACTAACGCATCTAAGAACATGATCTAATGGCGGTTCTAATCCACTCTGTAGCTTTGAAGAATTCACAATCTTTTGAGCTATCTGCAATAGCTGTAATATGATATGAAGCTATCGGTGATTTCTGTTGCAGACAAAGCCAAAGATACCGCTACTACCACCGTGACTTGTTGTCTGTGTTACAAAGGGGAGGAAATGGCTCATTTCAGTTACAGGTAGTGAAAGTCAGTGAAGGAATTGTTTTCCCACTGAAGATCCCCAAGCCCAGGGAAAGAACCCTGCCTAATCCCTCCGGAGTCCCATCCCTGGGGAGCACTGGGCTGGGAGTCCTTGGTTTCCGCCAATGGCTTCAAGCAGTTTTCGTCCAGCATCCAGGAGACTTGGGTCTCACTCAGCTCTGCCACAAGTCACCTTGGGCAGCTCAGTCGCCTCACTGGGGCTCCCCCCTCAACCCCCTGCCCCCCTTCTGGAAGACACAATTGCTCAACATAAGCTTCCTTCTATCGTTTGTTGGTCCTGACGGCGCAGTTGCATTACCTTTTTGCTGTCTCATTTTCCTGGTTCTGTTTACCATCCTTGGAAGTCACCAGGGAGATGGGACCAAACTCCACACGGAAAGGAGATGCTGGTATGAGCAAAGTCAGATTAAAATACATTAGACTTGTCATTAAAACAAAACCACTGCTCAGTCTGAGGGCTGGGCTCCTTTTTCATTGTTCTAATGGGAGAGAGAGGGTGAAAAATTCTGCTTTCTTTATTCCAATTAGGCTGTTTGTGTTTTTTTCACTGGCGGTTTGGCCATGAACCACAAACCAAGGTGTCATTGCTGTTGTCCTGGCCTGGTGGCCTGGGGCACAGATCCCTCTGGCCAGGCAATGCCCTGAGGGTTGTCCAGGCCTCTGACACCAGGTTCTACCCCTCTCAGTGGCCACCAGCCTCCTGCTCAGTCATGACCCCACCTCCCAGGCCGCTCTGCATCCAAACCACTCCTGCCCCTGGGATAACAGCTCTTCCCAGGCATCTTTGATGACCAAGACCCACATGAACCACAAAAACCCAGAGAACATTCAGCCCGCAGAATGCAAAAGATAAAATGGTCCTCAGAGGGAACAGACGCATTACAAATGGGCTGGGGTTGAACCCAGCGTGAATCCGGCACCCACCCCATGCCCTCGTGGAAGGTGGGTGGGGCAGTGGAATGGAGCTGATCTGGGTTCGAATCCCAGCTGTGCCTGTCTCACTGTGGAAGCTGCATGAGTCTCGGCACCTCCCTCCTTGCCCTTAGATCCAGCTCCATGGGAGGACAGAGCTAGATGCCCACCCTGCAGCCCCTGGGGCAGGCGGGTGCTCACGAAATGCTCATCCCCTGCTTCCCTTGCTAATCTCTCATCATTGCAGCCACTTTCCCCAGGTGGTCCTCCACGGGACCCTGCTCCTCATTTCCCATCTCCCCCAGCATCCTCCATGTTTCTCACCTGAGACCACACTGGAAGAGACGGTGCCCAGCACAGGCTGGCCATTCCCTTTTATACCTGTCCAACTGGTCTGAGCACGCAAAACCTTAAAGAAGAGGAGCCCTCAGCTAGCCTGGCCTTCCAGGGCCTGACAGGACGCTCCCGGGTCCCTGAGGGGGGACCTTTGCCTCCCTCCCATTGCCCATGTGGAGAAACTGATGACCTCAGCCCAGGGGTGAGCCTGCGGGCAGAAACAGAACAGCTGGCTAATGACTTTTCCTCCTAAAGCCATAACTGCCCTCTTGGAGGGGGCTGACTCTCAGGGAGGAAGACCTGTGTTGACTCGTCAAAGCCTGGAGCATGGATGAGCCCGGATAAGCAACTGGTTGATGCCTTTGTTCCCTTCACACGCTCAGGCTGGAAAGCCAACGTGAGCTTGGACTTGAGTCATCTGATCATGGCCGTGGGCCCCTCCAGCCCACCACGGCCAGCAGAGGCCATGTGGTATCATGGTGCAGTGCCAATCTCAAGTCCCAAAGCTCCGCCTCTAACTCTTCCGTGGCTTCCCATGCATTGTGTGGCCTTGAGCAAGTCCCTGCCCTCTCTGGGCTTGCCTTTCCCATCTGTAAAATGGGAGGCATGGCCCCTTGGAATCCTTTGTGCTTTTCTCAAGCCCAGAGGTGGCCTCTGAGTCTGGAGGGAGAAACTACCTCGGGGACTTTCTGCCTGGCATCTGCCAGCACCCCTACCTCAACCTCCCCAGGTCCCCACTATTTTTCCATTAAGAAAAAAATTACCATAACATAAAATTAACCCTTTTAAGGGACTAACTCAATGGTATTTAGTACATTCACGATATTGTGCAACCTCCACCTCTATTTTCAAAACATTTTCATCAGCCTAAAAGGAAAGCTAGTGCCCGTTAAACAGTTTCTCCCCTAAGCCCTAGCAACCACTAATCTGCTTCCTGTTTCTGTGGCTTTACCTATTCCAGGTATTTCATATGAATGGAATCACACGATATGTGACCTTTTGTGTCTGGCTTCTTTCATTCAGCATGATGTTTTCAAAGCTCATCCATGTTGTAGCATGTATCACTACTTCATTTTTTTAATGGTTGAATAATATTCCAGTGTATGGACATACAACAATTTGTTTGTCCATCCATCCATTGATGGACACTAAGGTTGTTCCCATCTTTGGGCTATCGTGAGTAGTGCTGCCATGAACGTACGTGTACATGTGTGCGTTTGAGCACCCGTTTTTGATTCTTTTGGATATTTACCTAGGAATGGAACTTCTGTATCACTTGGTAATTCTATGTTTAGTTTTTTGAGGCATCACCAAACTGTTTTCCACATGGGCTGAATCATTTTACACTCCCACCAGCAATTCACAAGGGTCCCACTTTCTCCATATCCTCACCAACACTTGCCATTTTCCGTTTTTTTTTTTTTTTGGTTTGGGCCATCCTGGCAGGTGTGAAGTGGCATCTCATTGTGGTTTTTACTTATATTTCCCTGATGACTGATGCGCTATGGAGCATCTTTTCACGTGCTTGTGGGTCATCCGTGTGTCTTCTTGGGAGAAACGTATATACAAGTCCTTTGCCCATTTTTTATTGGATTATGTGTCTTTCTGTTGTTGACTTGCAAGAGTTCTTTATGTATTTTATGTATTTTGGATACTAGACCCCTATCAAATGTATGATTTGCAAATATTTTCTTCCATTCTGTGGGCCTTTGCACTTTCTTGATGTCCTTTGAAGCACAAACGTTAATTTTAATGAAGTCCAACTTGGCCATTTTTTCTTCTGTTGCCTATTTTTTTGGTGTCGTATTTAAGAAATTCAAGTTCATAAAGATTGCTTTCTTCTAGGAGTTGCATGGTTTTAGCATTTATTTATAAGATTGCCTCTTGAAGGAAGAAGGAATCCATCTGAGCCCAGAGCCAACTTCCTTTTTGGCCTCTCTGGGTTCGGCGCTGGGAAACAGCTACTTCAAACCCAAAGAACCTTTTATTTGGTACATAGAAATGTTTTCCAGGTGCTTCTATTGTCGTCCGATCCCTGCAGCGTGTCACTGTATCCTGTCAACTGGAATCGGCCCTGAAGAATTGTATTAGTAAGCAA